GTGACAAGTTATCGGTTGGTAATAACACCTAACCAAGCCTTCAACGTATTCTTGTGGTAAGAACTGTTAGCAATCCTAAGGTATATTTGTAAAACTACATAAAAGACACGCAAACACATTTATGTCTCCAAGTTTGCATTCAATTCCGTACAACATGGTTGTGAATACGAATGTGTCAGACATGACAGATGTGTTTCAACTCGTGTCGTATCCGACACATATTTTTGCTTCACAACCAAGTTCTGTTGTTAAATAAAACACACAAAGCTTCAGCCATCTGTTAACGTGGCATCCCTGTTGCTGGTAGGTGTCACGCGAGACCAAATTATCAGATTTTGGTACTACAAGTCGTTCGAAATCCATGTGAACTGTCTCACATCAAAGAGCAACCAAATGTTTTTATTGTCGCTAATTCCCTATGTGCAACGTCCGTTCGAGCGGCTCTAAATTTGGCACCGTAATTGGTTTGCATTCTGAATTAATTATTCTTGAAACTTTCGTGTATTTCAATTCAGTTGTTACGTTGCCAAGTTGAGAGAAACTGGCAACTGCGATGACTAGTTCTAAACATAGTCAAAGATTCAAACACAGGTCAACAAAGTAATAATGTAGCCAAGCCAAATCAGCTGCGAGAAAACCTAGTTTGTCAGACACCTACTTAACAAAGTGAATTCATTTGAACTCTTTGTAAATTGTTCGCTTACAAATCGTAAATCTACATAATTTTGTTGGCTTCGTACCCTATATTGGCTGACAAAGACTAACCCTGACGAAATAATCAAACATTTCACGTAGGTCAGTCCAAAAGTTGCACCTTGTAAGACATGTGATAGATTACACTCTCATCATTTGTTTCATTAATCTGGAGACTAAGAAAGAGGTCACTAATATTACTCAATTACGTTCGTTTGAAGTTTTAAATTCTTGTATTCTTTTGTACATATTGTGGTCTTCTTGCTCCATTCATGGTCACCTTTTATAGGGTTCCACCCGCCAGCTGGTAAACATGGTCCTACAAAGAAGAACCTCGTGGCATTATTAAAGTGTTTAAAGAGATGAAATAAACTGTAAAATATTCACAAATATCCAGACTATGCACTGGATGAACTAAAACTTCATAATTGTTTCTTTAAGTAGTTACAAAACCATTTAGAAAATCCGCAAATCAGTCCTTTTTTACACGTGGTTTTAACTTCTAAATAATTGTTAAAATTTATTTCCCTTGTCCATTGCAAGCTCTGATATGTTAAGAGCTGAAAAAGCCCACAATCATTGGAAACAATATTAGTTTCAGAATATTAAGAGCTTTTACTATAGAGGCATGTTCAATCCCGAACTATATTTCAATAAGCCGCCATCTTGAATTGAAGTTCAGGCTGCCGGGTAGAACCCTCTTAACGGTAATAAACTGGAATGAACAAACGAAAACTTATGAGGAGAAGAGCAAAGACAATACGTTAATGCAAATTCGTTCAAAGTACAAATGTTACAAAAGGTCACAGCTATATAAAACCCAACTAAGCACTGAATATTGCAGATTAATATGAGATCTTAATTAGACATATAGGGAAGGCAGGTCTTTATGGTTACTTGTGACTTACATTAAGTTCTTTGAAAGGAGGTTGGATTAGGTAGCTTAGTGTAGGTTATAGTGAACCAAGTTGTGTATAGGTAATATTGCATCCTTTTTCTTTTGTGTTTGCTGTTTAAAATAGTGGGTTAAATACAACGAAATTACTAGTTCGAGAAATATCTAAACCAGTTGTATTGAGTGAAATACAGTTTTATACGGCAGGGTAACTTTATTTTTGAGAATATAAAATGTGGCACCTGTATATCTTGAATAATTTAAAGCCAATGTTGGACGGTCGGATGATACAAACTATCTCACAAGATTATATAGGGCGTTTTGCAATTCATTGCATATATCCGCATATTTTCTATATACAGAGAAGGGCAGGAAAGTGTCCCTACTTTTAAGGTGACGCGGTGAGTAGTGGGGATGTGGTGGAGGAATGGGGATTGGCTCGAATGATACTGTTGCTTTGGGATTTTATACTAATATCACGATCAATAGTGAGGAATGCGCTTTTGCAGTTGCAGTAGAGACGTATGTTTTTTTCCTAAATCAGTATATTGCCACTGTGCAGCCTGCGCTGCGAACTCATTATCCGATCTCCTTTCGCAAAACTGTTCCAGATTGCAAATCTATTTTGAGGGTGCAGTAATCTTCTGAGTGTTATTGTATTGCGAAGGAGAGTTGAAGCTCACAGAACCTTCCCAACTCCTGAAAACATTGACCTTATCAGGAGATTGATTTTGCAGTCTCCTCAACGTTCTGCTCGTAAGCAATAAGCATGCATCCGCCCTGGCGTTGTCTAATCGCAATGCACGTCATATTCTCCATAAGGACCTACACCTTCTCCATAGAAGATGGTAGTTGCTCATGAACTCACACATGGGCAACAACGGATACAAGCATGTAAACCCACAATTGCGGACCTGCCTCATAATGGTTTTGTTTTTGACGAGACAAACTTCCACATTTCTGCAGTGGTAAATAAGGAGTGCATTATTGGAGTGCTAACCCTAGGGTAGATCAAGAGAGGACCCTAGATGGCTTAAGGGAGGCAATTTACCTTAAAAGTGGCCGCACTCCACAAAACATTCTTCACAGAGTTAGAATGAACTTTAGAACCAGACTACATCCGTGTATTTACAATGAGGGGAACCCCTTGCAGTATGTGCTGTTTAAAACTTAATAAATCTATATATTATTAGGCAAGCATGTTTCTTTAAAACCTTTTTTCTCAGCTCGTGTGGATCGTAGGTAATATCTACGCAAAATGTTGGAAAGATATTTTCCTGTAGATGTGCAGAATCCCTTCATAAATTAAAACAGGCTCAAAATTAAGCACAAACAATGGTTTAAAAAAAAATAAAACATGGGCTTTATGGGTTGTTATGATGGTGACGTAATAACAACGAAATATAAACAGAAAATAAAAATAAATGGAATAAATTTCAATCACATGTTTTATTTACAGTATGGGGTGGAAATAGAGAATTCTGTACATTACATATTTTTGGTCGAGTTTTCGACCATTGGACGACCTCTAGTTTATATTAAAATAAACTTCCAAATGTAATCTTTTGATCCCAATATAAAGTTTGGTGCTAACATTTTTGGGTTGTATTTTCATTTACCCTTTAAAGTTACGGATACTTCCCTACCCCACCCTTTACCTATTATAATAAGGGTTTGTTGTGTTATACCTCTTTTCCAGCCGTCCTCGGCCGATTTCAACGACTGGTGTCATTTTAAATCTAGCGGAGAGATGATAAAAAGGTAATTTCCTATAGGGCTTCAACCTTCTTGCGTTTGTTTTAATTCTAGAATTCGCTTTCAAATATTCAGCAATGCTGACCCTCTTTATTTATAAAGGTTTAAATTGGTTGATTGAAATTTTAACAGTTTATAGTTAAGTTCAATGTTAAACCGCAGTCAGAAAGTAAACAAGAGACAAAACCGTTTATGAAAGCGGATTTTAAATAGGCTTATTTTTTTATGTAAAGTGATTGGGGTAGTAATTGCTCTTTATAATGTATATCTAAAACCAACAAATTTAATTCAATAAACCACACAAGCTTTGATGCTTAAAATGGTATTGATTAACCATTTGTTTTGCCTCGGAAACAAGTTATGAACATAAATAACTCTTTGTTATATAAACAAGTCTGACCTTTAAATATTTAAATCAAATACGTTTACTGATAGTTCTTATGCAAAAGGTATGATGTAAGTTTCTTTATTTTTAGGTTTTGCTTGTTTGTTTATATGCGTACTTGCAAACATTTTTCAAACAGAGTCTTTTGACCAAGTACAATACTCAGTCCAGTTAAAACAAAAACAAAAGTTCTTTAAAGATCTCTAAAATTAAATTGAACTTTCAACCTCAAATTACTACACAATTACAGTACATTTCCATTTGTGTCGTGGGATTGAAAAGCCTGAGATTATTCTTCTAGATTTGTTATGGAAACAGTCTTGCTCGTTTCGCGGTATGAGCCCCATATAAACCCAGCCATTCAAACGGTCTCAAGCAAGTTCAAAGCAATAACTTTCTGAGGTCCAAAGGTCAGAAACTAGTGCTATAATGTTCAAAAATCATTATGTGTCTGAAACTGTTTAAAATGGAAACGTAAATCAAACCCATCTTGGCTATCCTCAACCCAGTTGTTTATCAATAATCCAACTTGTAATGTTCACACTTTTCTTCATTGAACACAGATGTTTCATATTTCAAAGGTTGGTCCATTCAGTCTAAATCTGGATTGAAAAACATAGTTTTACTCTTACACCTTTATCGTATAAATCAAAAGTGTTTATCGCCATAAAAAATCCTATGTTTGGCATAAACTGATTAAGAAAAAGCCGAAATATCATAAACTGAATTAACAATGTTGCTAGGCTTGAAGGCAACCAATTGTCCTTACCCACTGTTGCTAAAAGAATAACAATAATCAAAAAGAAACGTAAACCTTCGACTTGGCTTCATTCAATCAAATCACATCGCATACCATTAAAAACATTTGTTATTTTATGATGATTGGACTATCAATTAATGATCATATCTAACAAAAGGTCACCATTATATAGTATGGAGACATAGGTTTGGACCGTCCCCTTTCAAAAAACGTAAAATGTTCTAAAAGGGACGGTTCGAGTCCTGGTATTCTTAACTATCCAGTAGCAAGCATTTGTTGGATATCATCATCAATTAATAGTTCAATGACAAATAGCATCTTGGTACGGAAACGATTTACTCGAGAACAAACCAGCAACGTTAACATGAAAGGTGAGTACATACAATAATCCGCTTGGCTACCCAGCCAATGTTCTATACTTAGCGAATCCATCATAAAGTTTGGTTACAGGCAGCTTAGATAATCTCAAGCACTTTTTCTTCGTAAACTCTTACTTCTTATTCTATTTACAGCTCTAGAAGCGTTGAAGAAAGAAAACCCAACTACCGGTTTCAGCCCAGAAGGTTGTCGTCAGTCCCTAACTCTAGATGTCGCAAGATCATCCCTACTTGCTTCTGGTCAACCTGTCTACCCTCCCCACGTCTCATCAATACTTCACGACCATAACAGCATCTTCCCAGTTTGCCCCTGTTTCCCGGGGAACCTGGCTTCACCGCACTTTCCAGTGCAAGAGGTTTGTAAAATATTGTTTTTTAAGGAGTGTTTGATTAGAACTTTGCGAAGCTGATACAACAGGGTGTGAATTGTAAGGTGGGGGTGCTTGGAGTGTTGAATGGATGAAATATTAATGATAGCTATAATCCTGTCTCAGAAGGTCATCTGGTTCCTTGGCCAGGACGATTATTGAAAATCCAACGATCACTGATATCTGGTTGCAGTTCTGAGCAAATAAAAAATAATTGAACTGACAACAATCTGATAATGGACGAGTAGGGGAAACACTGGTTTCTGGGAGCGAGTTTCAGACAATTTAGAGACCAAAACGATATTATACATGATGAGAGGAAACATTGAGGTTAGAATGGAGTGGTGAATCCGAGTAGCTCAGAGCTGCTGTTCGAGATCAGCTTTTTCTATAGCCAGGAACATCTAGTAGCAAAAGTAACATTTTGGAGACAACAAAGGAAAGCTAAGCTCTCTGTCTTGGCATCAAAAAGCACTTGTCTTTCCCCACATCGAACGGGCAATTACCAGGTACTATAATATAAGGTGAGCACTCTGCCGGACAATATATGCTAATTTGATGCATAAAAATTACACAAACTAATTTTGTATTGAATTTACAACTTTATTCTCTGAATAGTCATTTATGTAAGAGATGTGTAGGATATTCAAAGTATTCAGTGAAACAATCAAAGTCTGAATACTGTATGAGAAATCTCATCGTCTACGAGACCAGCGGTAGCAATCGTTTATTCAAAAGAAGTAATTTGAATGAGCCTAGAACAGAGTTTTTTTTTACTGTCTAAAAATTATATTTATTCTCTCCGGTTTTTTTCCTGAGAGTTGAAATAGTATAAAAGATACCATAGCTTAAAAGCAGTTGTCCTTTCTGTCTAATTTGGTAAACACCAGCGCACTGTGTAGATAGTTAAATTTAACTAAATTCATGTTACAGTATTACAAAACTAGATATAGCGTTGACATAGAATAGAATAGTAGTAGTATCTAGTTCTACCCATGATAATCAAAGGTAAAACTCTAAGGAACTTCAAAGTAAGATCAGAGAGTTCATAATCATATGCTGTGGGGACCTAAAAATTGAGAAATATTCAAAGACACCACTGTTTCGTAATGAAGTATATTCTAAGTATTTTATCGTTGCGTAACTTTTATCTTTCCTTTCCCAGTAACATGTTTATGGTCTTCACAAAGTTGATTTCCGTCTAGCTATTTTATATCACACATACATTTTATTACAAATCGCAAAAGAGATTTACGTGCAGTCAGGGGTGGGGTTTGCAATAAATGTCCATCCTAGAGAACAATTTATGCGCACTTGGCTCAGCTGGCATTTAGCGCAGTTGAGCGGAAGGTTTGCTCGTTAACCGTTGGCGAACCAACGCATGGCTGAGAGTTGCTATAAAATGGGACAACTCTGGGAATATGAGCCTACTCCAAGTTGAACTTGTCCATATACAGTGTAAAGGATTGGCCTACGCTGAAGGGCCATAGGCAACGACTCACATTAACTATGTAGGTAAACACTCAACCTAAATGGTTTTACGTGGTTCATGCAATCTTTACCGAAACGTGTCCATTGTTTGGCTCATTGATATCACTAGACTTTGTAGGCCTTGGTTGTGAAAGTTTATCTCGTTAACAAAAGCCCAAAAAAGATGTAAACGTCATCATTTAACTTAAAAGATTTCAATTTGAACACCATAATTTGGATTGATAACTTTCATAAATTTTCCATTACCTTAACCTATTCCTAACCTAACTGTAAACAATGTTTGATGTCTAAAAACATTTTCTTCGCGCCGTACAAGAGAATCTTTACCAACACTGAGATGTTGACTAGTCATGGAACCAAAAAATAATCGAGAAATCTACAAAACAATTAAGTAAAATTTTGAATCAGCAAACCCGTGTGTTTGCCCACATATACTACGTCGAAGTTGTCACCTGAATTCCCACTTGTATCGGTTTTAACTTTTAACGGTGCTGTTGAGGTGGGCGTGGCTGAACAATCGTCCATGTTCTCAAGCGAAAACTGCCCGATACTTATCAACATGAAATGCAGATTCTATTGCAATCCAGTCTTCATTTTCACAAATCCTGCAGACGTTTTAACAGTCCAACTTCTTGGCAAGACGACAGAATGTAAGTTACTGAATGCTATCTCGTCAGTTGAATCCTTTCAATGTTTAACGGTCATATTGAATTTGTAACAACTGCTCGTTTGTTGTACAGAGTGTAAGGAAAATATTTGTCTTTTTAACGGGGTGAAAATGTAATATATACCTATCTTATATTTCAATTGGATACAATGATTTCAAATAAGACATATGTAACCAAAAAACTGTGTACTTTTAGCACTAAATCTATTAAAACGGGTTTGATTTCTTGAAAGGTTAGGATGGCTTGAGTGATGCAATACCAAATTTATATTGCATCGACTACGTTTGAAAAGGAGAAGACTAATAACTCAGTATTGCAGAAAGATATTCTATAAAAGTACTAAACTCCTCTGAATCAATCAATCAATTATATCAATTATTTAAGATGGGGACACCACTAGGTGCGTATTTTAACCCAAATATGACAGTAGAATGAGTGGTGCTATCATGTAGTCTTGTTAGTGACTAAGGCCGACATGTTCCTTAGACCATAGACAAACAGCTGTTAATTAATAGCCTATACATTTAATGGCAACTACGGGACCTAGAGTTTATGGTGGAATCTGAACCACAATTTTGCCTTTGTAATTGCTTACCAAACCAATCAATTTTAAGAATAAGATATAACGCCGATCCGACACACAAGGCACCAAGGCTTGTACTTAAAGGCGAAGACGAGCGTTGAATGAGATAGTAGCTTTAACATTAGTAGCATCTGGTTTTCAGCCAAGACCAACTATTTCTATGATCAATGGTAGCTTAAAGTTTCAAAACATTTAAGGCTATACTTCACTTTGAAAAGAACTATTAGTTAAACTAGCTGTTACCCACAGGCTTCACCCCGTTTGACTTCATAAGTATTAATAAAACTATTGATTGGTTAAGTTAACCTTAAATTAACAAAATACAGTAAAACAAACAAATAATCACACTTGATTTTAATAAGGTAAAAAATTGAAAGAATAACAAACACAGCTACACAATACACAAATACAGCTGAGGTATTTTTAACATTAGGTAGATGGAAAGTTCCCTTTAGAAAGGATTTACGACCTTAAAGGGCAATTTATGAAATAATGGATTTTGCGCAAGGTTTCTCGTCATGACGAACATTTTAAGTATGTGGTTTATGGGGGTGTGACATGTAGTTTTCTCAAAAGTTCATGGGTACTTTTGGCTTTATATATAGATTTATACGTCATTACATTATCATCACTTTGAGACAAACTCACCTAGTTCAGTACTTTAGATGAATAACAGTATGAGTGAAGTGTAGAATGGTGTTAGATGATCTGTGTAGCATTACAGTCTAAGATCAGCTGTTAAAGCCAGTATCATTTTATTCAATGCCCAATGATAAGCCGGGCAATGGGACGCCTGGTTGTGAATCATCAATAAGCTACAGTCATAGAATAACCAACACAAGTAGATTTCTCATCCATTTCTCACGTGTGAATTTTTAAGCTCGTTTTTCGTGCCGAGTTCATGTAGGTGACATTGATCGCTATATTGTCGAAGAATTTTTTCTATCATTTTAAGCTTAATTTGATGATTTATGCTTTACTGTTTGGTTATATAGCTAGGGGAGGAGTTTTTTGTTTATAAATAGATCGTTAGGTATATTTAGGAAACGAGGACTTAAATTACTAAAATAACAAGAAGCAAATTGTAAATTAAACACGACCCCTACAGTGCCCCGAACAGAACTAACAATACAATTTCCTGCTGATCCATAAAGATGAGAAATCTACTAAGGGAATAAATTTAATTAATGCTACTGCCTATTCTCAGGTTCGAATTGGGAACCTTTTGATTGTTAGCTAGCGCTGTAACAACCCGCTATAATTACGTTCTATAAAATATAGGTACTGCAATTACCTATATTTTATAGGACACTGCGTAATATTGTAACATAGTATAAACTATACAATCTTGGAGGATATACTGTATACATTCTTAACAAATAATAGCAAATCGTAAAAAAAAAATAAAAAATAAAAAAAACACGACCCATAGATCACCGAAAATATCTAACATTATAATTGTCTTCAGCTGATCCATAAGGATGAGAAATCTACTAAGGGAGTATGTTTTGGTTTTATCTATGCTACTGACATTTCTCAGGTTCGAATCGGCAACCTTTTAATTGTTAGATAGCACTGTAACAACTCGCTATAATTATATGTTAAAGTTGTAGCCAGGTTTTCAACAAAATTTTTCTTAGTTGATGTGAGCCACCTACAGATTGCGCTGATCTAAATTACTGATTTCTACCGATTACATGATGGTTTTTACCAAGTCAAACTGATGGAATGACTTATTATGAGCTATAGCAACTGTTGTGACCCAGCAACTATGTCAGTAACGAAAAATAAGGTACAAAATAGAGTTTTAGACACTAGCGCAATCTGTGACTGGCTCACACATCTACATTCTTTTTTAGTAAAGAATTGGCCGAAAACTGATCAATATAGATGGGATGTCTTCTTCCGTATCCAATAGTCAATGGCACTATACAATGTAAGGACTGTGTAATATTATAGTATAAACTATACAACCTAGGAGGATATACTGTATAATTTATTTACTAATAATCTGTATTTATCGTCAGTCACGTCTAATAACCATGGAATTTTCAGAGTGCCAGATCACCTGGAATACCTCCAGAACACTTTATCGGCCCTCCTTCTCCGAACAGCGAAGACTCCAACCAATCCGGCCAGTCTTCTTCCAGTCTTCCGCCAGAGAAGTAAAGGGTATTTTCTACACTTCCATGACGAGTGCCAAGTTAACAATGTCCAAAAAGAGGAAGTTATACAACTGGGGTGTCTTATTTTATTGCCTTATGTGTTTTAATGTTTGTTATACGTTGTTTATCTCCTGAGCAAATATCGTTTAGCGAAACAATAGTTATTTCTTTAGAGCCCACCAACTCAGTTAGTGTGTCTAATAATTGTATATTTTTATTATATTTATAATCATGTAGTCTTATTTTGCCAAACATTCAATACCTACTGTTATAAGACTTAATAAAATAAGTATTGCAAATTTATAATATTTATCTAAAGTTATCTCGATGCAAATTAAGAAAAATCCGATAGTTACATGAAGTTCAGAGAAAGAGGGGGATTCTTCTGGAAATAAGTGTTTATCAACTAGGGTATTAATTGGAAATTTCTCCAGTTCTGATTATTGTGCGACAATATATAAGATAATTTTTTTATTTGTATAATTCTGTCTCGTCTAGCTAAGTTAACTTTCCGATTATGCTTTGCCAATTTGATAATTAAAGTGTTAGCTAATAAGTTACTCTTTACTTTTCTTAGATCAGAACGATGATTTTTTTATCTAGTAAAATGAAATATATTTTCTAAAATACAAGCCAATTCAATTATTAAATCCTTAATGTCATTACTTCATCTGGACTGGCGTTTCAAAACACATCACAGATTATCCCTTACTTGTAGCTTTGTAGATAGAAAGGTGTTTATTTATTTACAAACTACAAAAAAGGCCAACATTTTCGTATTGGAACTGTTAAAAGGTAAGTAGTCAAATAATTTTAGGTGCCTTACATTATACATTTGTCCATCCTGTAAAAGAGTAGAAATAAAGCTAATGTGAACAGAGTTCAAAAGAAGTTTTGAGTTGACAATACAGATTAACATTAGCATTTTTAATTGATATTTGAACTTTATTCTTTGGAAATAAGAAAGATTTTCAAGCTTTTTTCTGCTGAACTATAAAATAAACAGCAACTATGCATTCTCGTTTCGTGTTGTGTGGCCGTTATTAGGGGAAGTATTTCACATAATACAGTACATCAAAGGTCTGTAAAACAAATTTTTAACTATTAATGTAGGGATATAAAAAAGGTCCTAATTTAAATTATACATTTTAATTGGTCTTTTTTTTTATTTCAATGAATGTTTCACTTATTTAATTTTATCATTAGAATTAATGATTATAAGAAATACTTCCTTGAATATTTCTTTAATTATTTATATGTTCTCTATTTACTGCTTTTAATAATTAAAAGTATTAATTATTAATAACTTCTAATACCACTTAAACAATATTCAAGAAAATATTTTTGGCTATTTTAGCCAATTATTAAAAATAGAAAATATCATACTATAGATTTTGATAAAGGCAGGTATATATTTTTAATAAAATGTTGTTCAACTAAATTTTTTATATTCTTGATACATGTAATTAAATTATTATACCTATTTACTCTGCACCTGCTTCGCAACGAGAAGAGAATGTATAGAAAATAGTGTGGTTCTTAACTGCCTCGTCCAATGGGAACTGCCGCATGATGAGGTGCTTTTGCTAGATGTAAATAAATGTTATCAATGTCCATTTCATAAAAATGTTCCACGGATTAATTATTTTTATCAGTCAAAACACATAATTATTATAAGGGTCCTTCCAACTATATGTTCTGGTTTCACGTATTTATACAAAACATTTGTCTGCAACAGACTGTGTTTTGTAGTTTTTTAACATATTTTTTTAAACTTTTAAAATCATTTTTAAACATAGTTTTGCTATCTTTAATTTATTATTTATTAATTTTTATTTCTTATTTAATTTATTTTAATTAAAATAATTTGAACTTTAAAAGATAATCACATCATACGTATAGTACTGTCACTGTTCAACTAATAAAAAAGTAGGCAAACAATTTTAAATCAAAACAAATCTAACATCAGACGACTCATCGATATCTATTATATTTTAAATGTGATTAAAATAATGCCACCCTTTCATAATTAAGGACCGTGCGCTTAGGATTTATACAAATATTTTCAGGGATTTTTCTCATCGAAACTTTTTATTCAATTTATAAAATTTAGGTGCGCGGCTTATGGTTTTTTTTTCGTTCGCAATCCTTGCTAGCTTTATACAAATGTGCAACCTTACGTACCAAACATGAAATTTATTTTTGTTAAACATTCAACAATTTAAGTCAAACAGATTTTGTCAACTACCAACAATCATAATTGGAGTTGATTCTACACTTTCATTTAGATTTAGATAAGCAATGATAAGTGGTGGCTTATTCGGTTTGTGGCAGTTGTTTTGTAAAGTTTTTGGCAAAGTTATTTTTTTTCTACTTTTCCTGTAAGGTACTAATAGTTTTTACGATATTCATCATGGCAAGACATATTATAGGCCAATTACCACTATATACCTTATTGTATTTGAATCTCTAGATCCTAAAACACTTTTTGTTGAAACTATTTTAATTTTTATAAGTCGTATTTTAAACCTGAGTTTTGAAAAAGAATATTTGGCAAATATAGTCATAATGTCAATATGTATAGTAAAAAATCTTAATAAAATTTCTCTCCTTTGTATGATATTAAAATGTTACAAAAACAAAAATGATTTATGCTACTCCTTATAGAAGTAAATCTACATTCTCATTGACTCAGCTTGTTTTTTTTACCCCGGGCATTAATGTAAGAGTACATTTTATTTTCCGAAGAGTCTGGTTAAATAATACCATTTTAATGGTAAGTGATATATAATGCCCATTTGAGTACTTTCACATTGTCTCTGATAAGAAATGTACAATGTTTTCTATAATTCTAATTTATAACCAACCCAGTATAACCCATTTATACTTTTTCTTCCAGACAGTTAATCTAAATCACCTTGCAAATTAATTTCTGCTTTCCTGACTTTTCTTACGTAATCATTTTGAAGACATGGAATAATGAATTGTGCTTTTTTAAACAAGGAATGGTTCATGATAATAATAATAATAGTTAATGCACGAAAAGTTCCTAGGTTATGTGGTAATAAAAAATTAATAAATATAACCATAGAAATTCTTAGTTTAGTGTAGATTAAGTCATGATATATTATGTGTTATTTTAAGATCCTATCACGTATTTGTACTGTTAGTATGGCCCAAAAGTATATCTAATGCGGCCTTGCCCAAAAGCAAAAGTGGTTTATGCTTTAGTTTATGATCCTACTTAAAAAGAATGTTGTACTTAGGAAGAATGAATAAATAACTAAAACTAACCATATCAAATAGATTTATTTTTAGCCCTACTAGTACTACAAACAACTTTGTGTTTTATTTTAAATTTGACAGAAGCAAATTTTAGGAGGTTTCGTAAGGTAGTTTTAAAATAAAAAATATAATTATTCTATTCAAAGCACAGGCCATGGATTCGCCAGAGGTTTTTTCTTTACTAACTGCAAATTTCTAACAACAGAAATTACTTTTGTAGAAATATTTAAAAATGTCCTAAACGACGTTTTACCATGAGCCATGACACACCAAAAGTACCGCGTCCACGGGGGGAGTTTTGAGACTACTTTCGTTACAATTCGTTTTACATAATAAACACATATTACCTAGTATGGTATATTTAGTTCACATAAATTAATTGATTTTGTAGTATCCAAAGTCAATGGTATATTTGGTTTACATAAATGGAATGTCTATTCGGAGTAGGGTTCTAAAGTCATTGGTGCATTAGCCTAATTCTAATTCCGGAGACCATTAAAAGCGTCAACCTCGACCTTAACGATATTAAATAATCCGATTGTTCTTCCCCTATGTTCTATATTTGAAATGTGCTAGTTTAGATGATTCGTTGACTAACATAAATATTGTACGACTCTTTTGTTTACTTTTTTAGTTAACTTGCTAATAATAAACTAATTATGGGCCTTAAGGCCATATTAAATTTCTAAGAATTAAAATTGACGTAGAGAAAAGCTCTTTAGTGCGAGTTGTACCATTTCAGATTTATACCTTCCCATTGTTGATGGTTACTATGACTTTGACCAAGCTAAGACTAAGCAAGCATGAATCCATTTATTCATTTATTCATTTTGACGGCAATCGCCATTTATTTATCCTTGATGAGAGAGCTCATACAATTGGATCCTTGATAGCTGATAAGCTAAATTTCATCCAGATCGCTTCAGCCGCTCAGTAGGAGTACGGTATAGTTTTGTGGAACAGAAAAACATGAGTTTAGTATAATAAGAGCCTCGCCCAGTTAGTTCACTCTCCGCTAAGTTAAGACAAATAATGGAATTTGAAAGATTACTGATCATACAGCAAGGTAGTGGCCTACTACACTCTGTGGTCCCGATTTGAGTTTATGACTTGTTACTTTATATTTTGTTGTTATCTTATACAAGTCTCTGAACCGTAAGAAATTATTAATTATTCGGGTTTAGACCGTTTTACAAAAAAGCTTTTCACTGTCTCTCCAACATCTCTTCTAAAAATGCCACTGGCCTAGACATCAATAAAAATGTACCTTTAATGTGCCCCAAGCACAGCGCGTATAGCTAAAAAAAAAGATGCTAGCATTTATTACGTTAGAAATGGCATTCTAGCGGCAATGATATTATTAATTGGTGAGTCGGTGGCTCAGTTGGTAGCGTCACGGACTTCGGGCCCAAGGCAGCGATGTCGTGGGTTCGGATCCTGGTCACTGCAACTAAAATTTATCAGTACAGTTCACCTTCGTACTGTACCGGCTCACCCCTTGCTTTGTTGTATACGTTCCACGCACAGATCTGTAGTCTATGTGGACGGGCAAATGCAAGGTTAAAAGAGCCCACCAACATCTTAAATAGTTATTTGTGTAACTAGTGGTGAAAGTGGCACTTTGCTGCACACGAGAGCAATGTTTACGCACGAGCCGCAGGCGAGTGTGGAATGATCTCGAGTGCATCAAAGGCCTTTTACACTCGTGTTACACATTATATTTTTCCTACAGTCACTATAAAGCATATAAATAATTAGTCTTTTAAACACTATACAACACGTTTTTGGGTTCAGCTGGCAACACAAATGGTGCCCTAGAGAAAGTAGTACCCGCGGTCCGTATCACTCCGCGACTTTTCTTCGGCAAGAAATGTGCTCCACGTTTTGAGAATATAGGTCCGTATGTTTTTGTAATTTGAAGTGGTTTCCGTGCCTAAAAAAATGCTTTAAAGGTATTTTCTTGTTTATTAAGATCGTAGGAATGCTTTGAAAACGTTTAAAAGAAAAGTCCAGAAAGTTCAGAAATTATAAAATACCGAAACTATAAACACGAAATGACAGGTTAAATCGTAGTTATAATAGTCAGCTGCTCATAGTATTATTATCTTTAAGTGTTGCCAACCTATTTCCAAGCGTAAACGGATTACGTGCATAAATAGAACCACGCTGTTTTGTGTTGTTTCGTTGGAATCCTGATGTGCGGCAAAGTATAAACCGTACGACAAAGTATAAACCGTACGGCAAAGTATAAATATGCAGCAATTAGCAGCTTTCTGTACTATAAACAGTACAAGGAAGCCAACTTTGTCGGGTGACTGTAGGAAAAAGAAATGCTTAACTGGGCTGGTGACTCACAGCTGTTCAGTCAAATCAAATCAAATCAAATATTCCTTTATTGCCAGTTAACATATATACATGCATGGCTTGCGTCACAATTTTTAAATAAAATACATAATAAGCAAATACATTTTTACACATTTACAGAAACATAGCATGCCTAAAAAATACAACATATTTATGATGAATTGTAGTTAACATATAATCTTTTACGCTATAAAAACTATTTTCTAAAAGTATAGTTTAAGTTTACGTTTAAAATCCCTAATATCACTAACTGACTTAGGATTGTCAGGCAGCGATGTTATATAGCATGATGGCAGGCGTGTTTTTTTTTAAAAAGGAGGTTTTGTGGTATGGAATGTTCAATTTGGATTTTTTTCCTATGTTGTAACTGGATTGGGGAATCAAAGGTTCGAAAAAACTATGGTTTTGTTAAAAAAATGTTAAAGGTATTCAGAATGTAAATGCAGGGAAGGGAAAAGTAAGAAGTCTTAATTTGACAAAAGCTGATCTACAAGACCCTCTCTGGCGAATGTCAGCTATGACCCGTACAACCTCTTTCTGAAGCGCAAAGATGTGCTTTGTTGTAGGTAGCTGTTTCAGATCCCCAGATAGTGACGGCGTATGACAAATAGGGGAAAACCACCGCATTGTAAGCAGATAGAAGAACGGTTTTGTCTGTGAAAGGAGCAAGGCGACGTAACACGAAAATGCCGGAATTAACCTTTCGGTCAAAGTTGTCAGTTTGACATGAGAACTTTAGGTTTTCGTCAATGTGAAGCCCTAAAAATTTCAAATTGGTCTTCGAAGATACTATATATTGTCTTCAATCCAAACACTGAGATCAGTGCGATCTTTTGGCGATACTGTATACTGAAGTCCACTAAAGTGGTCTTGCCATTATTTATGACAAGACCATTGTCAAGAAACCATTTGACAACTTTGTTAGACTCAAGAAAAGTAGCAACTTCCATGGTACCGTGGGTGGGTTTATCAACAACAATTGACGTGTCATCGGCAAACAAACACAAATGGGCATCTGAAACACTATTTTTGATGTAATTTTATGTATAAGATGAATAAAATAGGCCCCAATATTGAACCCTGGGGCACCCCAGCTTTGACCAGCAAAACGTCTGAACAACACTTGTTTAGAATGTTTTTGTCAACAAATGGCAATTGGACGACTTGTCTCCGTCCCCTAAGATAAGAAGACAGCCACAGATTAGCGACACCTCGTATTCCAATGATGCCAAGTGCAACCTTCTTGCTACCTTGACCGCTACTAGAAAAACTTATCTAACTTTACTGTGCCAATTAGGAAGTTATAAATTAATTATTTACAGTAAATATAGTGTTATAATGCTATAACCAATGCTAGTGACTGCTTAAAGGAGTCGTCATAGTGTCTCTTGTAGCACGGCCATCTTTAGGTGGCCGTGGTTGTACTTGTACATGTACATGAGTCACTGCTTTCCATCGGTCGGCAGAGTCGGAATAGCAGAAGCAGAGTCAGACTGACTCATCATCAGAAGGGACTGAAGAAAAGAAGAATAAAATAGCCATTATTAGCCATTGCCCATTAGCCAATAGAATTGGCGAGCGAAACCTCGAATAGAAAGAACAGCTGTTTTGCTGTTCATTGTCATTCGGCTGGCTAGGCTAGTTCTCAATCAGTTTACACATTTTCTAATTTAAAAATTATACTTTCCTTACTATCTGCGTTAATATTATTAATTTATTACATTTACTATGTTTATGTGTGGTAAATTCAGTCATTTGAAATGTTCAAAGTGATATTGTATTGCAAGTTGATGTTTTGTGAACCAATTAAGTCCAATTAGGCCCTGTTGTCTTTGTCATTTTTATTCTCAAACGAGTTTTCAAGAACGAGGGATGAACTTTGTACTTATACTTTATTTACTGTCCGTATCGCAGTGATTTATATAACCAAAAGTGCATTTAAAAAGTCAACCATAGGCCTAAGTGATTTTTTTACTACAGTATCGTTTACAGCTTTTGCAGTTTTAAGTTAGGTTAGGGAGTGTGATATGCAATTAGCTACAATGTTAAACACATACTGCTAATATATTTGATTTAGAAAGATATTGTTTGAACGTTTAGGCTAGGTGCGTCCGAATAATCATTAAGAGTGTTTATTTATTAAAAAAGTCGAAACTTAACCTCCCAAAAATGGATGAAATCACAGATGTTGAAGATACTGAATCTTCTTTGAAACAGGATAACTCGGGTCCTATGAGATTTTTTGCTCTTTTCCTCATGTGCCTTCTTGGATTTGGTAAGTAGGCCTACCTTAGACGTTTACTATGCCATGGCCTATTGTTCTTTTAACTTAAGTTAGGTGAAGGGCCAATTAAAGGCTAAGTTTAACCAGAACAGAGCCTAGGCCTAACTTAGGGCCTATGACTTAGCACACCGAACTGGCAACCTGGCTTACTAAGCGATAGGCACTAGGCACTAGTTTCAGTTAAATTTGGCCTTTGGAAGGGCCTATCCCACCCCTCCTTAATAGGCCAATGTAGGCTAACTTAGCCTAAGTTACTTAAATATTATCTTGATATCCATTAGGATACTACGTGTTGGTACCCACCTTATTTGGTAAGAAGGGAAAAGAAATCTCCTCTTGGTGAGAAGGCATTAGAAAGATAATATGCAATAACTTAATCAAAGAGAAAGAGTTAAACAAATCCTGTAGGCCTACCATTGATGAGTAGGCCTAACTTACTGGTTCAAAGTTAATTTTCTGCTGTACGGGTAAGTAACTTACTACATCTCAAACCACTGACTAAACTTAAGTTACCAAATGATTCCATCACGGTTAATAATTAGGCCTACCGTTAAGCTTACTGTAGCCTATTTAAAACAATATTTAGGATAAGCGGCCAATAAACTTAGTTGGGTGCTTGACTTGAATGATAAATTAATTTTTTTTTATTGTTTTAGGTTCTTATTTCTGTTATGACAATCCTGGTGCAATTCAGAATAAGTTCACTGAAGATATGGGTCTCTCAACTGCAGAGTTTACACTTTTATACTCTGTTTATTCCTGGCCCAATGTGGTTTTGTGTTTTGTCGGTGGGTTTTTAATAGACAGGTATGTATGAAAAATTTATATATAACTTAGTCACAGTTATGTCACATCAGTCCTGTCACAGTCACACAAATTATTTTTAATGGATTTTCTATTGCATTAAGTAGGCCTATAGGCTACAGCCTACACTCATCCGACTCAGTTTCCGTCAGTCACTCTGCCGGCCCTCAGTTAATTTCAGGGCCCTGTTTCATAAAAATACTAGTCTAGTATTTACTAGTTCACGGACTAGTAATACTAGTGTATTTTACAAGTCTACGTTTCAAAAATCTACTAGTGTAAAATACTAGTTACTAGTGTAGGGACTAGTATTACTAGTGGTTTTTACTAGTGTAGACAGCAATGTGTTTCATAAAATTTTACTCTTGTAAATTACACTAAGTAAATACTTGCTATTTTCTACCAACCTCTCTTCACCCGTATTATTTGAAGTAGACTAGTATTTTTGAAAAGAAAGTTATTTCATTACACACATAATTTTAAAAAATTAATTATTAAGTTCTTTTTGCAAGTGCGAATTGGTTCACGAATAGATCTGTGAGTGCTAAAATGATAATAATTAGATACAAATTACAATAAATAAATGTGGCGTAGTACAAAATGAGTGAAATTGATTTTTATAATGTATGTACAATCGCCCTATTAGAATAATTATAATTATAAGTTATCAATTTATGTGAAATTTTTGTCTAATTTTACTTGAGTGAAATTTCATGGTTATATCAACTATTTAGCTATCAAAGAGAATATTTTTAAGCTTTGAGAGAAACCAAATTAAAACCGCATTCCGGTACCGTTTTGCATACAAAGATGTACAAAAATGTATCCAACATTGCAACATTAATCAGATTATTTTACACCCAATTAAGGCTCTCGGTTTTATTTAAAGACATTTTAATAGGAAATAATAGTAAAGCAATTTTGTAGTTTTGTAGTTGCATTGTATTTTTTGAGGTGCTTATTATTTGCTAAATAGCTAAAATCCTGTGATGTACTAACAATTTTGTAGGCCTATATTTGATTTTTGGGCGTTGAACTGAACTGCTTATCATAAAAACATTACTTTTAATCCATTTCGGTATTCTGAATTTGTTAACCAAAGTAATAAAAAAATAGATGTTAATTAGAGCTGTTATTTTAATGTAAAAACATGTAAAAGTTTAATTAATGGAATAAAAAGTATAGTGAGGTGCGCAGATTTGAACCAGAGACCCTCCACATGACAATCGAGAACTCTGCCTCTGAGCTAGTGACAATGCCATGTTTTACTATAGGCCTACTTGAAAACCTACCATTTGCTTGAAAACCATTGCTTGTAACGGCTGCAATATTTGTTACATCAATAAACGTTTAGGCCTATTATTCATGGTTTGTAGACTCAAAATTAGAATATCACCAAATAGTTTGTAAAACAAATATTCTTATGCATTCGAATATTTGAAAGCATAGGTTAGGGTACGAAAACGTTCCAAACAAAATGTCCTTAGCCGATTTACATTCAAAATTTGAGCCTTCTTTTCTTTAATCATAGCAAGCTTAATTTTATATGTCAGAATAAAACAAAAACTATACAAATCACAGCGAATGCGGCAGCAACAGATCAACTTCCACCCAACTGTTGAGCGCCGCAACTAGGCCTACAACCGGCTACTACAATCACCGTGTTGATTGCAGCGGCGCGACGCCGCGCCGCGCCGGCGCGTCGGCAGGCTCATTGATGAACATAAATAATAGCGGTTTGATAAATAATGTGTGAATGTTTTACCTATGTGTCTATATAGTTATTAATTAAAAGAAAACACTGCGTTTCTACAACTATTTAGTTTTAGTATCAAATAAAAGAAAAAATTAAAACGCTTTATGAAGCGTCAGAAACCCCGTGATTGAGGTTAGAAATTTGTTTTGAGAGTTCACTTGTAAAGTTGGTCACGTGACTAGTAGTTTCGGTCACGTGACTAGTAAAATTCACTAGTATTTACTAGCGGTATAAAAACGTTTATGAAACACAAATTAGTAGGACAGGTAAATACGGGACTAGTATTTACTAGACTAGTAATTACTAGACTAGTATCTTTATGAAACAGGGCCCAGATTTCTTTTCACTCAATATTTTTGGATTGTTCGGACGCCTGACGGACAAAGTGTTTGATGTTAGAAAATAGTGCTTTTTTATTTAAATGATCGCTTATATTTTAACACGTTCGCGGCGGCACCTCAAATGGCGGGCCAGTGCGGCGCGGCCCTCAGCGCATGTAGCATGGAATCGTAATGCCAAATGGAGGGAAAAAGACGGGACAAAAATAGTACATTTTTGAGATTGTCAGACGAGGATTTTAAGGTAAAATTTACTACCAACCTACGCCAAAAAAAAATACAGTATACTATTGAGCAGTGCTGTGCGAGGTTTCAAGTTTCTAGCTCTAATCCTGGCTCAAAGAAAAATCATTTCGTAGGTACTACGTTGCAGCTTGGGAGCGATCGCACCCACCAGGATGCCATTAGGGTTCAGTATGGGAGCGATCTCTCCCATGCCGCTGCGAACGTGTTAAGTAGGGGAAGGTGTTGTACCTTGGACCTATATGTACCTCGGACCTATACTCATTTTAGCACTACCTATCTCTATCTGTTAAGTAAAGGGAGAACTTGTACCGTTAGTTAATGCTTTAGCTACCAGAGGTCTATCCTGATGTGTTCAAGTTGGAATTGTATCTGTCCTGTTGACAGGAAAACTGTAACAAGTTTTTATTAAATTATTTTAAGTTTTTATTAAACCTTATAGGCCTAAGGTAAAAGTAATTTATGCGACTTTTAATTTTCTTTTATTACCGGTATGTTAGATTTAACGATTGTTAATCTTAGCTTGCAATTTGGTGCTATAAACCAACAACTCAGCTACAGTTTCATATGATTCACCATGTTTATCCTAACCTAGTATAGTCTAGAACCAAGTTTTTACAAAATGGCCAGGTGTACCTTGGACCTAGTTCATAGGTTGTACCATGGACCATAGTAGCTTAGGCTACTAAAAGCAGACTTTAAAAATTCTGTCAAAAAGGTTTATTATAGGCATTTGTAATTTAATTTGCTAAACGAACAGGACAGAGCCCCCAAGACAGTTAGACGAATATTTGACGTAGGCCTTAACTAGGCTATAAGTGAACTTGAGTGAATTTCTTATAAAATATGATTAAAATATGTATTATAAGGGTCAGTTTTTTTTTTATATTTTATCAAATAAAAACCAATTATTTAATCTTATGACATTTAAATGTGTTTCTACATTTATTTCCTCTACTTTAAAATCAGTGGTCTAAGGTACAACTAGGTCCGAGTACTGTTACAACACTGTATTTAAAGGAAGAGAAGACTGACTGAAACCAAATTGCTGATAGTTTGACTAAGGAATTGCGGATGCAACTGAGACTGAACTTTGACTACTGTAAATGGAACTGTGACTGGACTGATATGTGTGAATGGACCTTTACATTTTAAAAGAAACTCTGAGCCTTCTAAAGTCTTGATTAAGTACCTAGAGGTTTTATTTTTACCAGTAGTTAGGCTTGTGGTCGTTGGTGTTGTATAATGATTAAGAATAATAGGCCTACATAATTTACATTTTAGAAGGTTTATTACAGTCATAACAAGTACGGTACCGGTACAACACCAGTAAGGAAAAAAAGTAAACAACGAAGTAAATAATAAGTTAACAATAATTGCAAAACTTTTTTAAAAATAAAACTCAATTAAATAATAACAGCTAGCCTACAGCCACAGATTTATCCACTAAATAGGTCTATTGGCTTAGGCCTATATGCTGCTCTAATTGTTCTAAATTATTATCATCTTGAATCTCACTTTAAGGGATCTATAGGCTATCCTTGTTATGTTCTCCAGAAAATAATTGACCATTGTAGATCAAACTGTTTGACGGGATCCTAAAAATATCACTTTGGAAAGTTAATTTCTCATAATTATGTTCTTAAAATTTGGATAGTTTTTCATAATATTTTTTCTTGATGTACCGTATCCTCAAACAAAAAAAGTATGGTGCAAAATTCCTTCAAAATTTAAGATTTAACATAACGTAGAGCCACCCTGTACCCCGTACCCTGTATAACTTAAATGCAGGCCCTAGGCACAACTAATAGTTGCGCCCCTTTGCAATATATATTATAGTGTGTTTACGATCCGGGAAATCTTATATGAATTATGTGTGAGTTTGTTTTGATGATGATATCTACACGACTGCGGAAGACGACTAATGTCCACATGACCGCAGCAAAAAATAATGTCCACACAACCGCGGGAAAAGATAACTTTGCCTCATTTACGGTAATTACATTTTTCATTTTCCAATTTTTTGGTGCCCCTCAAAAAATAACTTCTTGATCAGCATTGTACGTGTTATTAAATTTACGGAAAGTAAATAAAAGAAACGTCTTATAACACTTAAAACATATATTTTACGCTTATACTGTTACTCACAAGACGGTAAATATACAAAAACGATGGTAAGTGGTGATCGATTTCGATTGGACACTCCAATCATCATCAGACCCAATAGGCGAATGAATGATACATTCACCTATTGGGTCTGATGATGATTGGAGTGTCCAATCGAAATCGATCACCACTTCACATCGTTTTTGTATATTTACCGTCTTGTGAGTAACAGTATAAGCGTAAATATATGTTTTAAGTGTTATAAGACGTTTCTTTTATTTACTTTCCCCTCAAAAAAGCCAATTGCCTCACTCCCTAGGCACGTGCCTACTGTGCCTAACCGGTAAATTGGCCCTGCTGAAATGTTCATTTTTTTGTTTAAAACACAAACATCACTTAATTTTTGAAGTGAGATGGGCTGATTTTTTGTAAAGAATTTTCCAATGAAATATAATTGCATTTAATATGCAAATAAAAGTTGTAAATGCTAAAACTGCTGGAGGTCATATATGAATAATTAATATGTTTGTACACAAATTTACACACCACACTGTAGCCTACTAACTTATTGTACGTCACCAGAAAAACAATGTTTATTCATCTTGGCTGACTTGGTATTGTTTGTTGATTTCAGAGTGTTTGGCGTAAGATTGGGAACGGTACTCTACGCTTTCATTGTTGTTATTGGACAGCTTGTGTTCGCTTATGGTGCCTACGCAAACTCGTTCGCCCTTATGCTAGTCGGTAGATTTATATTTGGGTATGTTTCATAAAATCAGTTTTTACTTTAGGACTTGATAGAAAATAGAATAGTCTATAATATATTTTAAATCAATAGGCGATTATTCGTCAGATTTTGCACTTCCTCATGTAATGTACACAAAATAGACCTGCACATTGGGGTATCCATCTCAATTAGGCCTGAGAACCTTAAAAGGGTGAATAAGCCGTGAATTTTGTAGACTGTAAAAAAACCTTGAATAGGCTTTCCATTTTTCTGTTAAACATTGAAAATTATGGGTTGGCAGATTTCAATCCGTAATATGTTTTAGGTGTCTTTGAATTTTTTATTGATTCCAGAATCTTCCTAGATTGTAGCAAATTCAAGAAAGTTTTACTGCATAAACTATGCAAAATCCTGCAAAAGGTGTCATTAACAATCACTTTCATCCCTAAAAATCTGCCTAAAAACTAATCAAGATTTTAAATTCCACTAAGTATAATAATTCCATAATAGGATAATTCCATGATTTTTTTAGTACCGTATGTTATATTTTTAATATCATTTAGGCTACTCTAGAGGGCATTTACCATATCTGATTTTTACCATATAAAGTTAGCCTATTTATAAGCTTTTAACATCATGTCAGTTATAGTATTTTGCTCAACCAGCTAGTCGGTCTTTGTTGATAAAGATGATATTGTGTCAACTAATTGCCAGATAACATATCCAAACCAGCCACATGCTTTTTGTTGATTTATCCAACTGCTCTTAGTCATTGGGGTTTTACTACAACAACCCCACTCGGTTCATGCAATTTTGTAAACCATGATTGTATTGATGCATTTTTAAAGGAGAGAACCTTATTTTGTGAAAACAGCCTCAATCATGTTAAAAATAGATTGCATCACTGTTCTTCTGTGTGGATACATGTGTTTGAATTTGTATCAGACTTTTTACATCTAAAATAATTCAGACTCATTAAAATTTGATTTGTTTAATTTTTTTCAGTCAACATAATCTTAATCTTAAGCACACTTTAAACATTTAGAACATTAAAATTGTTACAGATTTTTTCCTTGCAAGATGTACAAGATGTATAATTAATTAAAACTAATATGTTACATGTGTTTTTATGATCAATATATTGAGACCAGCGTACTAGATTGTATACAATGCAGAGAGTCACAACTATCACTATTTGTTTTCTACTTCAGTGGTCGTCTGAACCTCTGGGTCATGGCATTATCATGTAACCAAAAGCCCTTGGTTATGTTAATTGATTTGAACATAAACATCCAGGACCAGCCACTTCCCAGTTCTAACTCAACATTAACTGTTACAGTATTGGAGGAGAGTCGTTGGCCGTGGCACAGAACAACTACGCCGTTGTCTGGTTCATGGGCAAGGAGCTCAACACAGTGTTTGGCCTGCAGCTCAGTTTTGCTCGGGTCGGCAGCACAGTGAACCTGTGGGTGTTGAAGTACATGTACGAAGCTGTACAACAGTACTTCCATGGATACCAGTGCCTGGGCATCACCTTGTTTCTAGGTAAGTACTTTCATGACGAAGGTCAGCAAGAATTGTCACACAGAGGTTCTCACCATAGGTACCAAACGATTGGTACACTACAATTTCTGCTTTCAAACAATTCAAAATCTAAATCCATGCTATACTTTACTATGTTAATCATTATGTTGTGTCAACTTCGTTAGAACTATGTTCTCTCTGTGCTTGCAACATCTGATAGTGTATTTTTAAACGTTTTAGTTTTTGTTAGGTATGATATACAAGTTTACCATACTATTATCAGTAAACTATTATCAATATATATTTAGTGCTTGAAGACGAGATTTTAGGCCTAGGCTCGGCTCAACTTGAATAAAATATTGTTCCACTTGTAATTTTTAACTAGACCTATTATTTTTTTTGTATTTTTTAATTACAGTGCATTAAAGTGTATTCAATCTATTTTACTCTTTTTTTGTAAGTGGCACAGAATGAAATAAAATAAAATAGAAAATTCTTAGTTATTAAGGTAAAGTTTTCAGGAGCAGGTGTTTTATATAGCACTATAATCTAAGGAAATATAGGATCTGATGACACGAGTATTATTAGTTTGTATCCACACGATAGATTAGATAACATCAGTCATCATTGATGATATAATTCTGGACCAAACTACTTTCATTTAATTCCTTAACACGTTCACTGTTAAAGGAAATTATAAAATTGAATCGTATTTCTAAAAAACTTTATTGTTGTATAACATTCCTTTTTGTGTCTTTATTGAAATACAATATTATATAATACGATCGGAAGTGAATATGATGTCAAAAAGTGACGTCATAATAATGGGTCAGTACTGACCCATCAGGAGCCAGAGTCAGAAAAAAATGGAAATGTCACTGAATACATTATATAAGTCACTAAAAATATATGTTCTAAAGATATATGTAGTCAATATCATAAAATAACCAACATAAAATAGTATATCAATTGATTCCGGAATTGATTATGACTTCATAATGTGACGTCTATACATGGGTTAGTGCTGACCCATCAAGAACCGTAGTATAAAAAATTTAAATATTAAACAAAAATGAGAAATATAAAAGATTTAAAATGTTAATATTATTTAAATAAAATAGTTTAAAAGTTTAAAGCACACAAAAGTAGCAAAGCAAGGGGTGTTCACAGTAACGTGGGTCAGTACCAACCCAGCCGCCACGGCGGGAGCAAGACGCGGGAACCAACTCAACGGTGAACAAAGCAAGTCACGCTAACGTGGTATAGGTCCACCTTCGACCGACGCTAGGCTCGCACTAAGCAACAGATTGATGCACTGCAGTGTGAGTTAGTACCGTGGGTCAATACTGACCCACCCGCAGGGAATGTGTTAAAAGTCTTGTTCAAACTATTGTTTCAAGAATACTATAGAATTTATGCATTTGGACTTAAACTATGCAATAACAAAAACAATCTGATTGACTCATCTTTATGAACACCTGTTCTGATTTCAGCTGCAGCTACCTGTGTGATGTCGTTGCTTGGAGCTGTGATACTCGGCATGTTAAGGAACAGACGAGAGGAGAGTGCCAGAGACAATGCCAGTACTGATGTGGTCAGGATAACTGATGTGAAGGACTTCAACCTCACGTTCTGGCTGATCACAGTCATCTGTGTAGCGTACTACGTGGCGATATTCCCACTCATTGCTCTTGGAACGTAAGTTAAATTTTGATAATACTATTTTATAGGTTTAGGACTTTTTTGTCAGTACGCTTGGCACGAACCCAAAATGGTTTTTCACATGACTTCAGGCAAGACCTAGGGGTTGCGGCATTATCACTTAGATAAAATCCATTGTGATTTGGTGGGATTTGAACCAAGGACCTCAGGGACCAAAGTCCCACGCTCTACCACTAGACCAGCTACCTCCCCCTAGGTTTAGGGCTAGAGCTATGCAAAACCATTGAACTCCATTGACCTTTTTAATTTTGCTTCGACTTGGGATTCACACAGGTGTTTGAAGATTTGAGGTGGTGCTTTGGGATTTAAATAGGCTATCAATTGTTATCAACAACTGCAATGTTTATATTTTTAATGTTTCCCCAATGCTCTCTTATAATACAATTTCATAAAGATGGCTCAAAATAATACATGTCTGTTTAATTAACAATAGATGGGCCTATCACAGAGACTAATTGGTTATAGAAACTACCATATGTTTGATCCATAGAGACAATACTATACTCTGGTTTTCTGCAGTAGCTTCTGAAGAAAAACATTTTCATTGCAAAACATGAGCAAAACTTCCCAGAAAGTAGTATTTACTATTTACCACTGATTAGCTCCTGTCAACCTAGTGTACCCACATCAGTTATTTTATTTTCAAATCAATTGGCTGACAATAACATTGTGTTCTCCCTACCAGCATGCTTGTTCCGTTTAAAAGAGGCCTGTTGTTGCTTTGTTACTACTGGATTGTTTTATGATTCCTGAAATTGTATTTTGTGTGAAAGTTTTGTATTCAAACAATTGTTTGTTAAAAAGCAAATATCATTGGTTTGTTGATGTTAATTTTTTATACTCAGGCCTAAATTTGGTAATAGACTGGGATATGTTCTAGAATATATTAAATAGCCTATTCTAGGTGCTCTGTGTTTCCCCTTCAAATAAGAAAATGTGTGGTTTTGGATTACTAATTAGCCTACAATTTAAGGAAGGCCAGACTAACAGCTTTACATGATCTTTTTTATAGGTTATAAATCCAGAAAAAAACAGTGCCGTTGATAACCAGTTACCCTTGGGTAGTAATCAGCCCAGCTGTTCTTGATTATCGGGTTTTAAATTGGGAAGTGTCCCTGAATCGAATCCCAGGTGACATGCATATGTTCAGGGGCTTGCCTGAACTCCTAAGGGTACAGACAGTAACAAAGCTACACAAATCATCTCACTCCATTCTACACTCATTTTATATTCATATTTGGGCTAAAATACACCCAGTCGAATCTACATCATAGTTAGTACAGTAGTAATAATAAATTAGAAAATTTGTCCTTTGATAAAAAAAACCTAATTAGATAGCTTAGCTTTAAAAATGTTTAGCAAATCAGTCACAGAAAAATTATTTACTCTTAGTAGAAGTATTAGCATAAATAATAAAAAAATAATAATATAATACAATCTTAGAGTTGTAAATGTTGTCTGGTTTTGCAGTGTGTTTTTCGAGCGCAAGTACGACATGACTGAGGATGATGCCAGTCATGCCAACAGCATCCTCTACATCACCTCAGCTGCGTTCTCCCCAGTCTCCGGCTACATTGTGGACAAAACGGGCCGCAATGTGTTCTGGGTCTCACTCTCTATTTTCTGTACCATACTGGCTCACGGGATGCTGGCGTTCACGTTTGTCAACCCGTATATAGTTATGGTGAGTAGATTGCACGACAAGCTGTTTTGGGAAAAGTTTTGAACTGTTTTGTTAACAATAATTCCAGTAATTTAAGGATGTTTTGTCAAAAAATTAACAGTTCTTTAAAATTATGTACCGGTATTAAAAATTAAAAATCTAAAATTAAAAAATTAAAAGTGTACGGTTGTTTAGTGGTTCTGAAAAATAATGTAGAACTTAAACCATACTTTAAAGTAGTAATTTTACAATTGTTTGTACAAACTTAGGAGTGAAACTCAATTATATATTTTATGTTATAGCCTAGTTAAGGAAACAATAATTGTAATTTCATCCCCAAAATTTCAAAAATCCTAATAAACCTGTAACTTTCAAATAGGTTAAATTAAAAATATCTAGATAAAATTTTAGTTTATTCACATATTTTACTTCCTGAGGGTAACAACGGTTTATATGTTGTGATTTTCCACGTTGATATATTTTCCCCTTTGGCTAGTATTTTTGTACCTTAATTTATGGTAATCACATACTAATTTCAAACTGGATAGTGGATACTGGAATTCTTCAATTTTTAACCGAGCTGCTCGCATTTATTTTATCTTAGTTCAGGCTCTGTCAACAGAGAGGTAAACTCCTCATAAGTTGTAGCTTGTAGCCTATACCACAGAAAACGTACTACTACAACCCAGAATGCCAACCGCATGGTAAAAAGCATTAAGCGGTTTGAGAGAGCTTTGCCTGTCAATCCGTAGGCAGTGCCACCAGCGTTGCCATGCAATAGCATAGCAACGCTGGTGGCGCTGCCTACGGATTGACAGGCAAAGCTCTCTCAAACCGCTTAATGCTTTTTACCATGCGGTTGGCATTCTGGGTATAGTAGTACGTTTTCTGTGCCTATACCAAAACTGGCCGAGACAAATTTGAACCTTTGAGCTAAGGTTTTGTCTCTAGATAGGAGATGTCATTGATTTAACAACGTTTGGCCATTGATTAAACCTAACAGTCTATCTTACTAACATTGGTCAACCAAAATCCAAGTAGTTTTAAATTATGACTCCCAGGTTACAGCACATGTAAGGTATAATAGCTTTCAACTGTATTTGTCAAGTTTTTCTTAGATAGCTAATTGTAAGTGGGAGTTTGGTTCGTTCGACCTCCAAATCCCTGCCAAACATGATCAGAATACTTACGGCATGTTCGGCAATTCGGCATAAATAATTACTCGTACTAACAAAAATATTTAAATAGGCCTAGATCTATGCATATTTTATTTAATACTATAATATCAATGTAAGTTTGACAGATAATATCTAGCTATATCATTTCCAGGGCATTATAGGACTTGCGTACTCCATGTTGGCTGGTAGTCTGTGGCCTTTAGTAGCATACATCATACCACAGTACCAGCTGGGAACTGCCTACGGAGTGTGAGTATTCTTGAAACTCTTATCTTAGAAAGATTAGATTTCCTTTGTTATTAATTTGACAGTTTGGAATAATGTGTAGTTGTAAGTAAGTCACTTTTTTTGTAATTTCTAAGCAATTGTCTTTTTTGTGAAACCTGACAAATTCTGGTTTTGTTACTGTGTCATGTTTTCCTTTTTCATGAGTCACAATGCTGTTGCATACTCTGATAGCAATAATTAAAGCTCTGTTCAATTTACTCTTTACTAGGCCTATTTTAATTTACTATTTATTGCTTAATCAATCTCTAAGGCTAGGCTAAAAAAAAAGGGCCGTTCGCCATTCTTACACTTCTAGTCTTCATTTCGGCAACAAAATGAAAAATACAAAAAATTGAATTCAAATTTTATTAGTTACGTTTTGATGTCTCAATCCTCTAGGTCCACCTCCTCCACAAACATGTGATTCTCTTTGTGGATGTTGCAAGGTGCTGGCTGGAACCACCAACAGACCTTTCTATTACTAGCGATTATCTGTGTGCTGTCTGATAAAGGAGGATATCTGTACCTAGGCAGGGTGTCCACCGACCGGGAAATCCGGGGAAACCGGGAATTATGCGTGAATTTTGTATTTAACCGGGAATTTTTTGCCGCGACTGCGGGAAACGACGATGACGTTTCTGGACCGCGGGAGACGATGATGGTGTTCCTGTTACCGCGGGAGATGACGATGACGTTTCCATAACCGCGGGGGACGATGACGACGTTTCCGTGACCGCGGGAGACAACGATGACGTTTTCGTGACCGCGGGAGACAACGATGACATTTCCGTGCCCGCGGGAGATGACAATGACGTTTTCGTGACCGCGTAGAACGACGGTGACGTTTTCGTGACTTCGGGAGACGACGATGACGTTTCCGTGACCGCAAGAAACGATGATGATGTCCAACTGCCGCGGGATATGTTTGTGATTTTGCCGCGATCGCGCATGCGGACGACGACGTTTCCGTGACCGCGGGAGGCGACGATGACGTTTTTGTGACCGCGGGAGACGACGATGATGTCCAAAAATATTGCTTGGAATGATGACTGCGGGAACTTATTTGAATTAAGCTACGATCGAGGACGATTATGATAACGTTACTGTGATCGCGGGAGACAATTATAATGTTTCCGTTACCACTGAACAATATCAGGATGTTTTTACGACCACGGAAGACAGTGGTGATGTTTCTGTTATTGAGTGAAATATTCAGGATTTTTCAGTCATCGCAGAAAACGATGATGGTGTCTCTACGACTGTGTTAGATGATTACAATATAACCTTGAGTTTGGCATGACCAAAAATTTCAAAAAGGCACTTTTCTAGAAAGATTTTTATATTTTTTGTAATATCTTCATTTACCTTTAACGTGGTATTTATTTAAGCAATTTTTGTAATTTCTTCATTATTATTTCTCTAGGCCACTTGGAAAACAACCCATTACTCCAAAATTATACAATATGAAAGTACATAAAGCCAGGGGTTAAAGTAATAATCCTTAAGAAAATTTGGTTAAATAGAAATTATTAGTATTAAGAATCTATTTTTCAGTTGTCTATACAGAGATTCGGAGATTTTGGTATCGACATATCACTATTTTTAGGAAGTTAGTAATAAATTGCAGGTTTAAGGATTAGTTTTTAATTTTTGGATTATTTAATCAGATATATATAAAAATTGAATACTTGTGTCAGGCAATACTACAGCAATCATATTTTTTCCCCCCTTAACTGAGAATGCTCTTTCCGATACCTAACTAAAATAGCGAGCTGTGTTAGAGCGCTAAAACAGCATTGCGGGAGTTGGCGCAAAATACGTTGGAAATTTTAGTATGAAAAGTACGACCATGGATTTTTTTTTTTTTCATGAATTACTTATGAATTTTTTCTGGTTGGCCTGGTGGACACCCTGCTAGGCCAGTCCATGGGGCAGTACATTCCCTATACATTATCACAAAGTTAATATACAGTAGAGTCCCGTTAGTCCGAAATGGTTGGGACCGGGCCCATTTCGGATTACCGAATATTTCGGATTAAACGTTTTTTTTTAATTTTTTAAATTTTTTTTTATCTTAAGGACGCAGGCACGAGCCCGGGATTGTTTTTCACATTACATAAGGCTAGACCTACTGGCTGCAGCATTATCACTTACAGTAATAAAATCCATTTGTGATTTGGCGGACGAAAATAAAAAATGTTAATAACAAAAATGGTGAAATATTTACTAAAATACTCCACAAAAAGGTCTATCTCGCCCGGCCGCTACAGAATACTTTGACGAGGTACAGCTAACTGTATTAAAAGTTTAATAAAAAACAAAACTTCAAACAAAATTCAAAAAATTTCAAAAAAATTTCAAAAAAAAAAAAAAAAATTTCAAAATTTTAATTTTTTTTATAAAAAAATATAAAAAATATATTTTTTTTTGGTTTCGGATTAAGCGGACTTTCGGATTACCGAAGTTCGGATTATCGGGACTCCACTGTAATAGAAACTAGAAACCAATTAATTAAATATATTACGTATATTGTAATAGTTAATTTGCTAGCATTATGGTCGTTTTGGAGATGACTCCACCATTTTTGGGTGCGCGAGTAATTTAAAATTAAAACACGGTTGTAGTTGCTACAAACTAATAATTGTAGCTATAAATTAGTTGTATATTTATTTATAGACGATTTATAGGACATTTTGAATTGCAAAACCATACTGCCCACATAATGTGTGATTTAGTAACGTATACAATTATTTTTGCACTATCGTCCAATGATTCTGACTTTGGTTTATTTGGGCAAGGACCCACACATGTAATGTACGATTGAGAGAAAACAAACTTCAATGTTAACTTTTTCAACACTCAAGGCAGACCTAGTGTTCCAGCTCCTACTTTTGGCCTAATGCTCGTCATCCTACCACATCAATCCCAGATCAAATACACACCTACAACCACAACCTTTCATAGCTCAGTACAAGCTGGTAGCAACACTTCCAGTCTACCTGCTCAACATCGCCACAACTTACAATAAATCATAGTGAATTTTTGTTGTCAACAGTGTTGTCAGTTTCATATTGCTCCCAGATGTTACGCCGTTTGGCTTGGCTGTGATGTTTGTTAGCAATCTACAGCTGACGATGCAGTTGATGATGAAAATCTCTATGCGTCCTAATGATACCAACTGGTAAAGCATTACAGTAGAGATAAACATTGTCTCTAGTTAATAGTCTTTGTCTGGTGTTGCAGTGCTCAAGCCATTCAGAACCTTGGCCTGGGAGTCATCACGTTGGTGACAGGCATTATAGTAGATAGCGGAGGATATTTCATGCTAGAGCTCTTCTTCCTGGCCTGGTTAGCCGGTAAGTGTTATTTTCTGGTTTAAACTGTCTGATAGATCATTAGATAACAGTTAACAAAAAACCTCCAGGTGAGAACATCACCTGTTGCTGATTTCAAAATAGTTTGTGTTTTGAAAATTACGGTAAACGGTGTAAAGCAATCCTTTAAAATCGTGGAATGACAGTTTATTGTCAGGCAAAGTAAAAACCCCTAAAAACTAGTTTTTACTGTACTTCCCTATTTTTAAACACAATATTTTTTACTAAGTTGGGCTTTTTTGGTTTTGGATCAATTTTGATATGGATCAAATTATACCTTTAGATATTAAGTTGAACAATTGAATCACAAACCTAATTTTATAGTTTTTGTATAGGATACCTTTCATTTCCAAAAATGAAGGTGTGCCAATGTAAGAATTATTGTATGGACATTTTTTTACATTTATTTTCTATTTCTATAAATAAATAGGTAGTTTATTAAAAAAGTTGAAAATCTTCTACACTGCAGCAATGATTCTTTCTCATAATTGACATTCTGAGGAAGCTGGAAGAAAACAGTTTCAGTTTTACAGCTGAATAATTGTTTTTTTGAATAAACAACAAACATGTTTGATTGCTTACAGACAGCAAAATTTAGTAGGTCGCCTGTGTTAAGCTTGTGTAAGCAAGAATCCCTACACTCTTAGTGTTAGTCTTGCTGATTCTATTTCAAGGTGAAGTGGACAGTGGAATTGTCTTGCTCAGTATGTTCATGTGGCCAATTCTGGTTATTGTTGCTCTTTCAATTGGACTTCGCTATTTGTCGTAACATAGGTAAGAGAATATCTGTTAGGTTAACTAGAGTTGATTCGTTTCTTGTTCTTGTAAAACCAAATTTATGAAATTAACTTTTAAATTGACACTGTTGTAATTGACTGTCTTGAAAGTATCTATTTTCTGGTATGCAATAATCTTCCCTTCATATGGTTGGTATAGAAGCAATGTTGCATTGTTTCAGTTGCCCTGGTGACTGGTATAGTGATTTGGTTGTACGACGCAAAGCATTCGGGTATACTCAACATGTCCACCACTCAGCGAGAGGAGATGGACAGATTACGACAGTAAGTTTTAGCCAGGAATAGTTTTTAACTTAAATAATTATTAAATGTTTACAGTAGTGTCTACCTTCTTTCAACCTGTCTCTTTGGATTTTATTTTTTCAAATGGTTTTTAGGGTATTTTTTATGTCATTAAAAAAACTATGGTAGTAAACTTAACAACGAAGCATAATCTTTCACTTTGAAGAGTAGTAGACATACCATTCTTGTTTTAGAATTGTAGCCAGTTTTATATGAAAAATGAATATAGTTAAAATGATGTTGTGTTCCAGTCAACAACTTATTTCTGTTGTATACACTGACTTGCAAACCAAGCCAAACTGAGAGTACAATAAGTCTATTCGAAAGAATTTGTCACATCAATCATCAAAGTATCAACATCTAGAGAGAAAGTTGGATTTTTTAAAGTAGCCTATTGTTTAAATGCATCATTCAACTCTGTTCTATTTGATTGTAAAATTTGCTGCAGCAAGTCTATACAGACGGGATGTCAACCTTGGTTTGTAAAACCAATGTTATTGCACATTTTAAATGTAAAATGTAAATACAGAATCGGAAAACCTAGGTTATCTAAACTGAAGGGTGTCTATTTTGAATCTGCAAGGGCTCTTGGACGAATATCAGAGGTATGCCCAGGAAAAGATGCACTTGTCCGAATAGTTGACGTCACCACTTCATATGGAACATTAAAAAGGTCACTTACCAAAGTAGCGGTTTTATCCCAAGTGGGGGAATATTTAACTGATTAACTGTCTATGTTGAACTTCAAACAGCTGATATGGGTTTGTTAATATTTTGATTATGGTCGCTTGGACACATCGTTCTGTTCTAATAAATGTAATGTCAGACAAGGAGTTATTTATAAACAAGTTTTGTTACTTTTCTGTATAACAACAAAACTTGTTTGAAACTTAAAAGTTTGGTTTACATTTTTCTCTTGTAATTTGACTTTTGGTTTTTAAGTATATTAAGCGTCAGGGGTGTACTTAACTGCTAGAGAAACTGTTAATTTGAATTCACTAATGGCTTACGCCATTTCAATCAGATTAACTTCTTTATTAACATCAGTTCAAAGTATTGCACTGATAACAGTTATGTGTTCTCTCTTCTTTCAAGCAAAAGTTCTTTGTGTATTATTTAATTTTAAAGACAACATATTATTTTATTCAATGTACAGTAAAGCTAACGTTTCTTCTCAATGGCCCATAAGAAGATTGTGTTGTATAACAAAACAAAGATATGCTGAAATTTTAATTTGGCTTGCCTTAGAGGTTCGGATCGGTTTTCCCCTAATGATTGCCTTAAAGATCAATTCCAAAATTCCCCTAGTGATTTTTTTGCCTTTATTTAGAATTTTTTTGATGAATTTAGTGTGCCCAAAGGTCCTGTAGAGATTTTTCGTAATAAGTTTATTTGGATCTAAAGGTTTGAGTCTGAATTATATCTAATGATTTTTGTTAAACTAATAGCTAGTCCATATGTATTTTAATGAAGTCTTAAATATTTAGGCATGATTTTTCCTGGTAATTTTAATTTGACCCAAAGGTTGAATTCACATTTGACTTAATAATTTTTTTTTCTTTTTAAGATTATTCTAGATTTTCTCTGATAAATGTTGTTTTCCTTTAAAGTTTCTTCGAGTTTTTCTGGTGATTTGGTTTGCCTTGAAGTCCCAGTCCATATTTTCCCAGATAAATATTATTTTCCATAAAGGCTTTATTCAGATTTTTCTTGCTGTATTTGTTTGATCCAGGAAATGAGTCAAACCTTTTGGTATATGTTATTTAGTTTCCATAGTCTCCAAAAACATTGATTAACTCACAACTTGTATTTAAATAAAACTACAGAAAATCCTAAGGATCTTTTGAATATACAGTAGACTCCCTCTTATCCGAACTCCTAGGGACCGAGGCCAGTCCGGATAACGGGTTTTCCGGTTAAGCCGACGTCCCCAAAAACTCATTAAAACGGACCGTTTAAGGTGATATTCGACTTAAATTTAGGAGAGCATTGTATTTAGACATGTGATTACTGTTCTCAAATCTTTCCCACGAGAACAGTCGTTTCAGTACCGGCCATTTCCTGACGATCTAGTCCGGTTAAACCAATGTGCTGATAAAAATTGTCCGGTTAAAGAGATGTCATTTTCGTCGAGTGTAGTCCGGTTAAACCGATGTCCGGTTAAAAAGGTGTCCGGATAAGAGGGAGTCTACTGTAATATTTTTAGTATATATGAAATATATCAATGTTTTAGTAAATTAGTAATTGTTTACAGGATAAGTATTACTTTTTGGTTGTTCAGTCTAATCTGTCTTTTCAGCCCAGCTAGGTTACTTATTTAAATTTTTTTTGTTCTTTACCTTTGTTATGTATTTTTTGTGTGTATGATGTAATATTTATAGGTTGTCCGTTTTTATCCAACTTAAGCTAGTTTACGACCTTCAAATGAAGTTATTGGTTTTTCCTACTACCTGTTGATCTGAATATGGTTCAACCTAAGAACTGAAACTAGTTGCCAGTTGGAGGCCTGATGATTGTCAACTAAAGATCCGCAACTTGCAATTACAGCAATCAAGGATTAACTAGTGGTATTTTAACTATTTTAAATAAAATATTGTCTCTAAGACGTCTCTTGTTTGTTGTCGCAGGGCTGCAGAGTTGGCTGAGAGAGAGAAGCTGTTGTCTGCAAACGCCTCGGACACCTCACAGGATCTTCTTACTACGCAATCAGACTTCCAGATTCGCAACCGCTACCTCAGTCGCATCGGAGCCAACGTAAGTCTGGCAGCGCTAACCATAGCTTACCACATACAGGAACATCATATGACCACACAGTTTTGACAAAGCGAACTGGCTGATTATACACTAAAGCGGGTGTATAAATAAAATAAACCCATTCATTCATGTTTTTTTTACTTCCAGTTAAGCTAACTTAACTCATTCCTGTAACTTTAATTGGCCATTTGGAAAATTTATGAATAACACCGTAAAAGCTCATTCAATAACTGTAAACTGCATGTAATTTTTGGTAAATTTTTTTTCCAATTGTTTTATTAATATTTTATGTTTGCTTACATTGGCAGCTAGCTTAAATTAATTAGTTTATGTAAGAATTGAATTGACTAAAGTACAACATAACTTCATTGCAAATAAAGGTTCCCTCTCTTTTTAAGGAAAGTTATTGTACGTTGGCCAACATTCTTTCTTATCGTAAGCTAAAGGTGTTTTATTTTGTATTTATTTTTAGTCAGGATTCTTCTTATCCAAATTTTCTGACCTGACAGAACTTCTCAACTTGTGCTACAGGGTTAATTACAGTTACCGGTACTTGATGTGCTTGTATTTGCACACCCTTAATTTTAAAACTACACAGAGTAGGCCTAATGGTTCAATAATAAGTTTTAAAAGGTATATTTTTCTGGAAGTTGGTAATAAGAGATTTTCCTGTGATAAACATAATTTTGGTTTCTAAAAGTGTTGCCTCTACCCTCCCTTTAAATCTCTTTGTTGCAAATTATTCTTTCCATTTGCAATTGTTACTTAAAGCTGAACAGTATATTTTCAACGGTTATTATAACTTATTATATAAGTTATACGGTTATTATATCTTGTTATATTTTATAACTATAAAATGATGATTGCCAAAATTGCTGTGAATGTTTTGCTTTAATGTTTAGGTAAATCATATAAATAATTAGAAAACTTCTATAAAATACATATAATAAATTTTTAAAACTTTTAAATTTTTGAGTTGGACAAATGTTTTTATTTTATTTACAATTTAAATAGCAGTATAGCAGTATAACCAAGATATATGCTAAAAGCATAACCTAGCTTTTAGTACAAGTACCCGGACATCCTCTGAATGGAGATTCAATTACAGTAATAACAACTAACCATTAATTTTCTAAAGAGTGTTGATAATTTTTTCACCTCATATTTCATTACTTTTTCCTGCTCAATCAGTTTTCATTGATGGTTTTCAAGTCGATAACACTTTTTGTAATTTAGGCCTAATGGACAGAGCTAGTTTATTTTTACTATGAAAGAAAAATTGTTTAAAAGTTAAAAGATAGTTTTATAATTTGTAAATAACTGATAAAAGTTAAGTTTTTAATATTAAAGCTATTCACACTAATAATATTCAAATCTATTGTTTAACTGTAAGAAAATAGAAAATTTAACTGATAAAACTTTGTTGAGTGTTGGAAGTCTTATGGAAGTTTCAATCGTCATGACAACAAGGTGGATCATACAGTAACATTCTGTTTGTGCAATATTGTGAGCGTTTGCATTTGAGGTGTTCTGCGCAAAATTCTATGTCAGGTAATGTTCGGTCATTTTACTTTGGGGAAAGTGTCGTCCGCTATCGTCCGTTGTTTGCTGAAAGTCGCTCGAAGTTCAATTAACAAAATCAAGCCACTGCTGGAGGAATTACCACTCATTTTATTTTTAATTATTAAGGAATTAGAAAACAAGGCTTAATGGACTAATATATTGACTGTGATAAATGTAATTTAAATAAAACTTCAACCTGTATGGGCTAAAACTAATTGTACAATAAAAATAAGATAACACACTCTGAATACCGCTCCAGTTTAATGAAAATATTTTCAGAAAACGGTTTTGGTATCCTACAGTCAATGTGTTAAATCATTAGCATGGTTGGAATAGAGGTTGGACTTAGTTTAGCTAGTATTCAATACAAAACAGTTGTTAGGGAAATGGTCTGCTTATGCTGAGATTACAGATAAATGAATGGCTTAACACGTTCGCTACTGAGCGTCGCATATATGCGACGCCGCGGTCATTGCCACAGACCGAGGTATACATTTGAATCTTACACATGGACCGGCTGTCACTTGGATAACAGTACACACAGACCACGGGCGAAAACCTGTAAAACAGTGATCATTTACATCTTAATACGCTACAATCGTGTTTGTAAATAATTTATTCTTATTTTTTTGTATTTTTTATAACCTTTTGTAATGTCGCATATTTGCGACGCCCGGTCTACAGCGAAGACAAAAGTGAAAACTATCATAGTTTTCTTGAAATAGACCAAACGCTAATTTTTTTTTTTGTTTTGAGGTGAAAGTAAGTAAATAAAACAGAATATTCAAGAACATTTCATAACTGAACAAATATAAAAGCTACATAGGATAATGCAGCATACATACTGCATACATACATACAGTGATGCAGAAAAGTAAAGGCAAGTTTTTCCAACTATCATATGACGTCACTAATCATCATATCCACAGACCAAGCGACGCAGTAGTGCGTCAGACATCTCTGTAGACCACTGCAGGGAATTCAGTGGCTTCAAATAGACCGTTACAAAGATATAAGCATTTTAATAACACTAGAACCCTGACGCAAATATGCGACGGCAGTCTATTTTAATGTGACTAGCCGTCGCATATATGCGACGGCAGTCTATGGGTGGAAACCGGCCGTCGCATATGTGCGTCGCTGGTCCATGTGAATGCAAAATTTTGTACTATTGCAGTAGCGAACGTGTTAAACAGATCCAAATTAAAAGCATGTTATAATAAATTAAATTGAACATGTTGATTATATTTGTTGCATGAGTTATTTTTAAATCAAACCAAAAAAAAGCTGTACTTAGTTGTGATTCTTTATTTTGTTAATGACTTTGACACAAAACGTCCTTACTCATGGAATGTATGGAAATTGGAAAATAACCAAATGCAGGTGTTTGCAATAATAGCCTGTAGGCTATAGCATTTAGTTCCTTTTAGAAACTTTGGTTAGGGATCCTGTAACCCCACATCCGCAACCATTATGCCCACTGCCTGAACACACTAAGGTATTCTGCTCTAAGGCCTCTGGATTGATTTGGACATGTTATGGGCCCTCAAGTCCTAACCAAACCATATATCAGTGAAAGAAAGAATTCTGCTTTGAATAGATGAAGGTTGATAAATAAACTACTAATAAAATCATCTAATTCAAATTTATTCTATACAAACCTGACCAACGATGTTTTGATGTTGCAGCTTCCTTCACATCTGGCTCCGTTCAAGGGTATGGCCTACCGAACACTCAGATGAGACAACGTAAACACAGATGAGGACGAGATTGCAGCTTTGTTGTTAAGAGAATCGGACAGTGACGAAGACTTTGAACTTTACCGTTTTCATAACTAAACTCGGACTCTAAGACTTTGGACGTTACCGTTTTCATTAAACTAAACTCGGACAGTGTTTAAGTAACTTTACCGTTTTCATAACTAAACTCGGACTGTGACTAAGACTTTGGACGTTACCGTTTTCATTAAACTAAACTCGGACAGTGTTTAAGTAACTTTACCGTTTTTATTGCAAAACTCGGTGTAATAATTAAGATTTTGGACTTGACTGTTTTCATTAAACTAAACTCGGACAATGTTTAATAAAGACTTTGAAATTTACCGGTTTTCATAACTAAACTCGCCAAGTTCTGTGATACTGTACAAGTTTACAACCAAGCAACAATATTAGGCTTCATTTGTGTTAGGAATTCATAGATTATAGAAGTGCTATGTATATAACCAGCTGAAATACCAGTTCAGTATTTGCCAGTGATTTTATTTGTGACACCATTGGATAAATAGGAGCTTTGCATTTTAACGGGGGACCAGTTATTTCAATGTGTTTTAGTTAGCTGATGGCTGTTTTTGTAAATATTTAGTTTCACAATCTTCACCCAAAGAAAGGATTGTTTTCAACGCATTTATTTGACTAAAATCTATAAATTCTATCCTTACTATGAGTTGATTCTTATTGGTAAGGCCTAATGACTTTCTTTCAAGTGGTTACAGTTAATTTTTTTTTATTCTACAATTCATTTCTTTTATAAATTAAGCTTGCATTTAAGAGATCATTGGTTTGGATATTTTATTTTTGCATGGTTATACCAAGGTTTTATGATATGTATTGAAAAAAAGAAAAAATATTTTGTTAGGTGCATAAAAAATTTATATTTTTCATAAAAATATGCTGATTTATTTACTTATTTGTCTAAATGTTGTTAAATCTTTTATGTTCACTTTATGAAAGATCCAGGCCTAACATTTAAAGTTTTTTATCTTTGAGTGTAACACCCCAAATTAATACATTTTAAATTTATCACTTCGAGATATGAGCAAAAATTATAAAAGAAACTATAGCAAGATATGAGCTAATTGTCTTTGAAAGCTACTTGTCATTAGAAAAAATTCCAGAAATTTGTATATGCATTGTGTGATAGCAAATCATTGATTTTCAATATTAACACTGGTATATTTTTTAATAAACTGCCATACTGCCTTATGCAATTAAAAAACTTGTAATAATCCATCATTTAATCGTTGACAATTTGATCTCATTTATAGTTCATTTTCCTTTTACTATATGACAAGTCTAACCCAAGCACATGTATACTAGCTTTTATATTTCCTGATATTATTGTATAGGCTATGAATATTTAACATATATTTATTTTTGTAGACAAATATTTTATTGTATAAAATTGAGGTTAAATAGTTTGTATATGGTTTGATTATTAAAAGTGATATATGGAGTGGGTTTTGTTGATTTACCTTAGATTAGGAACAAATCAACTTAGACCAGCGCCAGATAATTAAGTTATTGGAAAGGGAATCCAACAAACTCTGGTCTACATTTTTACTATGTTACTTGAATCTATTATTGGTAGACTTGATCTATCAATATTGTCTTTGATATTGTCTTGTCTGTTCATGTTTATTGATTTTGCCTTAAGTCAAAAAAACTTACTAACAAGATTAGCTTCTTACCTGGATTTTTATTTGGTTATTGAAACAAACTTCATCTTATGGACAACGTTCCTAGTTGTGTAACAAAAAATAGTAATCAGTCAGACCCATCAGTTTAAAAGGGGGTTAAGGAAACCTGGTGTTAAATAATCATAGATTATTCCCTTATAGATTTATCTTACTTTTGGGATAGCTGAAGACAATTTTAAAGAGGCAGTTAAAAAGTGCAGGACCAATACGTTAGCTAAGGGTTATGCGACACCTAAGTACACCAAGATGTGTGTTTCAAGGCAAAGCTGATTCAGCAATGAGTTTAAAAGAACAATGACTACAGCTGCTTACTGACTCAAGGAGGCCTGATCAAGGAAATCCGAGTCAAATTTGAAGATTCAACCAGTACCAAGCCTCTGACTTTTTAGGACTGAACTCGTAATCTTATTACTAAACGAGCACTAAATCCACTCAGCCAGCAAGCAGATTCCCTTTCTCTTCAACCAAGCTATATAAGGGAAATTTTATATTGAAAAGTTAAGCCATTGATATATAAAAAAATATTTTATCATCCAAAGAAGTGCAACTACTATATTTTTGTTTAGAACAATTTCTAGAAAGACCAAACTAAAATTGTGTTTTTAAAGTTAATAATATAATCAATATAAAAATTATATTGATCATCATAATTTGTACATAACATAAACACAATTTTTCACAATAAAAAATATTAACTTGTATCATACCATTTATAGCATTATGCAATAAAACAAGTTCCTTACAATAATTAATTCTTGGTGTTATTAGGGACATACACATTTTTAAAACAGGATAAAATATTACTCAAAAGATAATAGACGGAGCAGAACATGAGTTTTTCTTTGGATGCAATGCCTGGTGCTCAGTAAGAAAATTTATGATGTTTGACATTTAATTAAAACGTACAAATTTTGTCAATAAGTAACGTGATAAGAGATTTATTATTTAAAATATAATATTCTATTACCTCTGGTGATGTCAAAACTTACGTTGAGGGTTCCTTCTTGAAATAAGATTATGATTTCAATGAAAAAAAGACCAGAGCCTCTCTAATTACTTAAGTCCAGCTAACAAACGATTATAGTCACACTTTGATAGTGCTATCAATTAAAGATTGTTTTGATAAGTAGTCTGATATCCATGGGGTTTAGTCTGATATCCATGGGGTTTTTAACTTTATTATTTGGCAACTCATAGAAAACATTTCTCTTATTGTGAAGTTTTCCATACATTTTACAACATGACCCATACCTGACTTTTTGTTTGTTTGTAAATTGCAAAACTCTTTGACCCTAAAAAATATTGCAAACCCATGAAAAAATGCATAAAACAAATAGTATGAATTTAACAGACATTATTTCCCTGGAACAAAGCTTAATGATCCCTGCTCTAGTTCAAAAATACTATTTGGTTATAGTATATGGTTATTTTATTTCTAATAAATAGGCTAGTATTTGTACAGTGCTTGCTTTTAATTACAGTGTGTTATTTGGTGTGCAATATAAAATCAGACTAATATTTAGGGCTCTTGAAAATTTTTAATAGAGAGTTTTTGCATCTTCGTGAAAATCCCATTATATGCTATGCAAACACTAAACGTTTGCCGTTTAACGTAAGAGCGTCTAATTTAAAGTTTTTGCATCTCCGTAAATATTATCTTCGACTATCAATACAAGCAGGTCAGCAACAAAAAATAAGGTATAATATGGAATTTTAGTTACTAGGGCATTCTGTGTCTGGCTCACACTGACTCACACAACTAAATTCTTTTTTAATAAAAAATTGGCTACAGCTGGTCCATATAGATGGGAAGTCTACTTCAGTATCCAATAGTCAATGATATTATGTTAATGGGTGTAAAATGGAGCAGATGTGATGTATCAATGCTTAGAGGTTAGGATTTTTAATATACTTAGCTGCAATTGATATTGTAGTTATGGAGGACATTTTAATTAGGAGCTATAACTGATCAAGAACGAGAAGATGTGCATATTATGCTAAGTTATTCAGACAAAAAGTATAATGTAAGTTTTTTTTAATTAATTAACTTAATTTCAAATGTGCTATTTTTTAGGTTTATGCTGAACTATCGCGGGATTTCGTGAGGCCATGAACCCCTTTGGAAACTTCATAAATCCCGAGCTTCTCTCAGTTGGTTTTAAAATTTGAAAAGAGCACATCAAATTAACGTCAACAGACATTAACGCAGCGGCATTGTCGAACTCCCCGCAGTAGTTGGGCGCAGAGAATATAGTCACAAGTTGTCTGTTGCTAAAAAACTCATAGCCATCTTCAACGACTTGATGAGCACGAACAATCAAATCAAAATCAAATTTGATTAAAAATCGTGAAACAATTTCTCTTCCAAAGGTAAAAGAGACCCCACGATCATTCTCACCCCAACCAACAACATCTTCAGAGGGATCGGCCCAAAGTAAATCACATAGAAGTCCTTGGTCAGGGATATCTGTGGGTCGACCGATCAGTCGGATCTGTTCCATACTGTTGAGGTTAGGACTGAGTCCTCCATGGCAACAGAAGATCTTCTCGTCTATGACAGCAGCCACTGGTAGACAGTTGAAGCAGTCGCAAAATGCCTTCCACAACTTTATGTTATATCTTCGTTTGCACTCGTCGTAGAATCCGTAAATCCTGTTGATGCTCGCACACTCATGATTACCTCTTAGTAGAAAGAAGTTTTCGGGATACTTGATCTTGTAGCTCATGAGGAGACAGATAGTTTCGATGGAGTGCTTTCCCCTGTCAACATAGTCGCCAAGAAACAAGTAGTTGTTGCTCGGAGGAAATCCTCCAGCTCCAAACAGTCGTAAGAGATCGTAATATTGTCCGTGGATGTCTCCACAGATCTTCAAAGGTGCGTCTAAATCCAGCAGCATCGGCTGAGCTAGAAATATCTCACGAGATTTTGAAATGAGAAGGCGTATCTCATTTTCAGCTATCTGAACGTTCTTGCCGGGTCTAGTGTTGATTCGGACCTCCAATAGCCTCTCGATGATGTTATCAACATTTGTTCTGTCATCCATCGTAACAAGAATTTGTTGTTTGTAATTAATCTAAAAGTTTTATAAATTGTTAAAATTTGTTTTCAATCCATTTTAGTAAATATTTTGGATGTGGTTGTTGTCAGTAAACCATGTGTTTGCTAAAAATCCATACAACACATGATATTTTACTTTAATTACTTTTACTCAGCAATTCTCTAAGTTTCATCTCGGAGCCATTGATTATAATGTGTGTTTTTTTAAGTAGTGTTTTTATGGTTTTACTATACTTTATTTTAGTTTCAAACCATGTTCTGGTATATAATGAATTTTTTATTAACATTATTAATTGGTTAATGATGTAATAAAAATTTAGTGGTTCCTTAAGGCTGATTAATGTTTTCAGAAAATCTGCAACCACAAACTAAACACCCCCGCCGCAGCAAACCTGCAGAAATCATAAATAATAATGTAAACATTTAATTTTGACCGTTTCAGTAGACCTTTGAATACAATTTTAATATTAACAGCTGGTTCATTAAAGTAGAGTAAAATTATCCATATGGTCGTAATGTAAACAAAATTGCTGAGTGAACTTTAAAGGCCTCTGGGGCAGAGTCCCAAGGAAATCTACCTTGTTTCTCTTTTGAGGGCTCACCTACAGACCAATACCTTTCTTTAGACAACCCTACCAAGTTTCTACACCCAGCCGTTCTCTCAAATTAGCTGTGACAAAAACCCCGTTTTCCTCCATAAGAATAACATGGGATGGGACTTTAAAGGCCACTGGGGCAGAGCCGCTAGGGAATTCACCACGTTTCTCTTTTGATGGCTTATCTACAGACCAAGACCTTTCTTTAGACACCCCTACCGAGTTTCTACGCCCAGCCGTTCTCTCAAAATAGCTATGACAAAGAAAAACAGTTTCAAATTAATATATAGACTAGAAACTATAATACCTGAGTAACACAAAATCAAAATCTATATATATAATACGCTAAGCCAATTTTTGTAAACAGAACTCCTCCCTCATTTTTGGACCGATTTTGATGATTAAAGTGTCAAAAGAATTGCCCTGATCTGTAGTTTTGCAAAGTCTTTTTTGTTTTTTGAAATCTTTATTAGTTTTTACAGGATCTTCCATCAAAGTTGGATTTTCTCCCATAAGATTAACATGGGGGAATCTAAATATTTAATTGGAAACTTTGTCTCCACTAATTTGAGAGAACGGCTGGGCGTAGAAACATGGTAGGGGTGTCCAAAGAAAGGTCTTGGTCTGTAGATGATTTATCAAAAGAAAAACGAAGTAAATTCCCTTAGGGCTCTGCCCCAGAAGCCTTTAAAGATCCCTCCACAGATTTGTTTACATTTTGGCCTTTTTAATGAAACAGCTGTTAATTTTTAAATTGTATTTTAAACAACACACATTTATTGAGAGTAATATAACCTTCCATTACGAAATCTGTGGAAAATCCTTTTATCACAGTAACTCTTACAATTATTTCTTATTGAACTACCTTATATCAATTTTACGGGTTGGTGTCTGCCTTTTTCACCACTTTTGCCTATATTTTATCAAATTATTCTAGACAGATCATCATAGGTTCATAAGATTATTGTCATACAGGTTTTCAATCTTTGGGAAAATCTTAGAGTGTGTAATACAGTACAAAATAATGCAAGTAAGTGGAGAAGGGCACGGTGGCCATTTGAGCCGTTTCCATATCTTGTTAAATTAATAGTAGTTTAAGGCAACTGGATAAAACATTTTACAATATTTATGTAGAAATATGTGCATTATTTAGAAAGTCATTAAGCTGGAAAACTGCAATTTACTGCAGACTTTTCAGAGAGGTTGCTTTGATGTATTCATTCAGATTAGTGAAAACATGATATATATATATATATATATATATATATATATATATATATATCATGTTTTCACTAATCTGAATGAATACATCTTCTCTTACTTACTTCTCTTAGAGAACCTTTGAATGTTATTAGACTAACGAAAAGGTTTGTGCATGTTTACTAGCGCTACTCAACAATAAAAATAATTTAATTTATCTCAAAAAAATACTGTAGATTCATAAAGTGCACTGAGCAGCAGCCTAAAAAATACTACCCATGTAACTTCCTCATATAGTTACAAAATGCTCAAACTCGCATTGTGACATTCATGATTCGGCTTATATTTCTCCAACATTTATTCATCTGCAGAAGAAGTTCAGTGTGCTCTTATCGTGTCTAATAACATCTAAACACAAAAACCTTGCCTAAAATGGTACCTATCTTGACAAAATTATTTGCAGTGGTCTATATTACGGACAGTGGCCCACTGGGTTGGTAACATTATTGAAAGTAACATGATATTTTGGTTGTAAGAGTAAGTACTATTTAAGCAGCTACTGTCATGACAGAAAGGTCATATTCCTTTTAAACTAGGTAACATCATCCTTTATAAGATACGTTGATTAACAACGCATGTAAACGTCAATATTTACGTAACAGCCAATTTACAGTAAGTTTTTCTCTTTGGAAATACCCCATTGCTATTTCATTTGCATTATTTGTTGCCAATGAAGCCACACGACCATATAAACGAGGAGGCCTCTTAGAGACCGCCGATTTCGACGGGTTTCACCTAGCAGTATATATTGTTGACAGCTTGTTTTTAAAATACCGATCCGTTAAATGTATTGCTCTGCAACTTATCTATTACTTGAAAAAGTGCGATTTTTCTTCTGCATCTATACGTCATGAATTATTTCATTGTAGATGTTAGCCTCCGGATTGCCAAATTATATTTAAAAAATCTAATGTCTTCAATTTAGGCAATCCATTCAATAATTGCAGATGCAAATAGTTTTGACTCCTTAAACTAAGCCTGGATTTTATCACTTCTATAATATTATGCCATTATCAGTAGGTGAGGCAGAGGTTTTTCTAGTGGGGCCTTGGACAGAGACACAATTCCCTATGTTATCTCAATAATTATGAGAAAAAGAAGACATGTAGAAACTGTCAATGTTGATAAAAAGACACATGATCTGGGTCCAGTTAAAAAAAAAACCACCAAAAAGCTACTGGCTTTTCTCAGAATTCAACAAAACCATTACCGTATTAGGATCGAGATATTGGTGTATGTTTGTTGTATTAACTTTAAGTTTAAGGTTTTGATTACATAGGTACTTAGACTTAGTATGGATATATTTAAATCTTAGATCCTCTGCCTCTTGTGCAATTTAAAAAAGAAATCTGAAGTATGATCGGCTGCACTTTAGTTTACGTCCTACACTCATTCGAACGAAAAATATCGGTTATAGACTATTCGATATATTGATTACCTATTTCATTTGGTTAGTTACGTTAGGTTTTATTTAACCTAACCAACCAAACTTGATATATCGAATGAAATAATCGATATATCAATGGATATATTAATTCGAAACAAAAAAAAATTGTTATGAAAGAATTGTTAGCTGTAAAATGTTAAGATGTAGCCTATGCTTTGTACAGTGCATTTCAAACATTTAAGTGGAAAGAAAACAGATAGTATCTTTGTAGTAATACTTTAATAGTTTTTTTTTTAGCCAATATTACAAAATACAACTGTGTTGTTGTAAATATTTATAACGAATGTTACAAAACTTGTGCAGTGATTTATTTTTCTGTTTTGAAGCAGTGGTCCCAACTGAGTAACTACAACCGATGTTGAATGTAAAAATTACAAAAATGTAATAAATGGTACAAAGTCAATTTCTCTATACAAATATTCTAATAGGAATCACATTTGATGGGTGAATTTGAGAACTTTCCTTCATATATTTTGCTACTTTTATAATTAATTATGAAGTGAGTGCAAAAAACAACCATGACTTTGGATACTGGAGTCCAATAGTAACCAGTGTTAATCTTGGTTTGTTGGCTACTCATCACATAAATAAAATTATACACAATTTACTAAAAAAATTTGGAGGTATATGTCGAGTTTACAACAAAACCCATCTTCATCCTCTGGTAAAATATAATATTACTTTTACTTGTTAATCACTTGTTATGTTGTTACCAGAGGCTGAAGATGGGTTTTGATGTAAACTCGAAAATATACCTCCAAATTTTTTTAGTGGATTGTGTATAATTTTATTTATGTGATCAGTAGCCAACAAACCAAGATTAACATTGATAATGCCATCACGAAAAAAAACATACCGGAGTGAATTAAGTAACCAGTGTGTTTACTAAAATTACTATACAAGTTGAATGGGCCTTTCATCAAGGTGTGCTACCCAGTAGCTATTTATTAAAAAAGTTATTTTTCCTCATTTGTTTATTTGATGCTATAGTAGTTGAATTTGAAAAATACTTCAGTTTACAAAAGTTTCCTTCTCAATTTAGCATATGGTTAAAAAATAGTATTTTATAACAGCACAGTCTGTCGGTGGCTCGTTGAAAAATTCCATATCACCAATACTTTTAAAACATTACTATACTATAGGAAGAAAATACAGTTTACACCAAGGAAAATGTCAAAATATTTTGAGCATGAAAAAGATATGTCACGATTTTAGTCATGGTTTATTAAAACATTATAAAATATTTTCAAACAAGGAAGTTCTTAAATTGAATAAGTTGAAATGAAAAAGCTACTTTAAAAAAATATCAAATCAACTTTTAGAGGATTTTTCTAAAAACAAAAACATATTTACTACATTAATTTGTTATACAAAAGGCAACTAGATTTGACTAACTACAGTAACTATGTACATTCTTAATTATATTTACAATGCTAAATTAAACTCTATACTAAAACCGCAAATATGTCTTATAAAAGTAAAATTCTTTTTCACAACAATGGAATATATCATAAAAGGTCGTTGGCAGTATTTGGCAGAAACGACTTGTCAGATTTTGATCTTGACAGCTGAGACACTGTCGATGTCAAACTTGGGAACAGAACAGAAGTTTGCTCTGAACATCAATCCGATTTCACTTCCTCACTCAACACACACATAAACATCTTGGCACATGTGAAGTTGAAGCTGTCTGCAACAAAACAGAGAAATAACCAGCTGATTTAAATCCCAAACTAGCATCTAGGGGCTTGTGCATCATGGAAAAGTATTCTAAAACAAAGAAAACGGTATCAATAAAACTGACACACACTTAACTGACTCTGTCAGCTTAACATTAAAATTGAACATCCTACTGCTTTTAAAGCAAAAACTTGAAACTATAGTTCGACGACCTGCGCGCTAATTCTAAACCAATGCTAGAGGAGGTCGCTTTCTAAGCGGCCGAACTATAGTTTGTAGCTCTGATGCTGGTGTGCGCTTAGCTGTGTGTAGCCTACCTATAGAACATTTTTTAAATTATTGAATCTCCCACTGCATGCGAGATAAGGCTAGTGATATGATTTTTGACCACATATGAAACATCTGATGCTGGCATCCATCGCCAGATAATTATTAAAGGTTATGGCCCTAATGCGAATGAGGGCATGGAAGTGTGGAAATGGATTATGCTCAGAGTAAAAATGACCTTGAGAACTTTTTTACTTTGTGCTCTAATATGAGAAGTCTGATACCCACCAAAAACACAATTCCTTCCAAAATGGAGTCATTTTCAAACTCCCTAACCCATTTCTGCACTTTATGCCTCACTCATTGCATTAGGCAGGCCATAAACTTCAGTCATCTGGCCATGTATGCCTGCAGCGGACATGTTTCTTATTGTAGAAAAAACATCACTGTAATTATTTCTCATGCAACAGGAGATTAAATAGTAAAAAAAATCTGGCACACAGTAAAGCTACAGAGCTGAAAATGGCGTCATTCGCTGTTCACAAATGATAACAATAAGTGACGAGGAGCCTTGTTACAGCATACATGCAAAATGCAAACTAAAAAGGTATACACACAAACATCTCTTACTTAAATAAACTACCTTAAACATATTATACCGGTACACAGTTTTTTTCCTTCAAATACATTATATTGTACAATTAACAATCTAATCACATTTAGACAGCTTCTGTATGTATTCTGAGTACAATATCATAAAATTTATTAAACTAACCCTAATAAAAAAAACCTACCTCCTAGGTCATCAAGCCACCTCGGTTTGTTCTTCCAGTGGATGAATATCAGGTAGACTGGGATGCCAGAGAGAATGATGATGATTCCCACGCCGACCTCCCAAGGTTTGACATAACACGGCAACACCACCAGGAACGCACAGATTATGAAGAACGTTATTGGTAGTAAAATATTTACCTGGAAAATATATGCTATTAAATCAACAAGGAAACCCATGCAGAAAAAAGGTTTAAAATAAAATCGAGAAGCCGAATCAAAGGCAATACCCTTTTACCTTTCAAAGGTTTTGTTATGTTTGTCGTTATTGTGTTGGCAACACCGCTTCCTTTACAAGGGAAAGACTTCCAGAATATAATGTGGCTCAATATTGAGAAAGGGGCCAGTGGCCACAACATCCAGTGTTTCCTTTGTGTTTTCTTTTGTGTTACTTTAGAGAAGCGGGATGACTACAATCTTTTAGCCTGCTTATTCTGTCCTTTGTCTCCTGTACAGTATTAAGTATACATATATATAAAGGGGGTTTTCGGAACTAAAACATATTTTGGCGTGATAAATATAAGTAGTAGTGATAGATTAGTAGATATTCTAAGAATAGTACATGTACCCATCCATGAGCCTTTTGGCAACATAGAAATGTAAAGTCAAGAAAAACCAGTACAATAATAATCCTCCCTCATTCCCTATATAGGAAATTTGCTAAAAATTTATAAAATCTTCTAGATGTGGTAAAGCTCTTGAATTATAACTCTCAACTTTACTGCCACCGTTTGAAGCACATAAATAAGTCCTAATCCAGAACTCACAGGGATCCAATTAAAATTTTGTGTTAAAATCTGCAACTTTCTACACCAAAATCTTGGGGTGCTCTACTGTTGTTAAATACTCTTAATAGCTATTTACCTTACAAGTGTAGTAAGAGAGTTTTTACATCACGCAGGTGAATGTTGTGCAACGAGCGGAAGCGAGTTGCATAATTTACCGAAGTGATGTAAACACGCTCTTGCGTAACGTGTAACGTACAAGATTTTACCTGACCCGACAATATACAGGAGGTTACGAACAATATTTTTCATTATCCATTTCACTCATCTTCTAACAGTAACGTTCATTTACAAACAAAAGCTAGGTTAGGAAAATTCTTCAAAACATAACAATAACATTCAAGCGCGCAGCTGATTTCTAGTGTTGAACGTCGTTGGCTCCATAGAGGTATATTTTTTAAGTTAAGCACTCAATGTTATTTAAATGGGTTTCATTACATCACCGAGTGAGTTTTTCCAACTTTTCATCACTCGAGAAGTAACGAAGTTATATACATCACGCTTGGGATAGGGAAGTTTAACATGGCGGGTTAGGTAAAAGTAGTTAACATTTCACTTGTTTGTATATCAGCTGTAACATCTCTTCTCTCCTACCCCTCACATCTGGGTAGCTGATTCACATGCAACGTTTTTTAACTCAATGAAAAACAAATGAAATTGAAATTGTGTTTTTATTACAGCTGTAAATTTGCTCATCATGTGGTTGGAAGCCTGTTGTACCAGCAGCTGGTTCATACAAGATAGAGTATAAATTTGCCTACAAAATCAATTGTTTTGAATCACATAAAATGTTTAATTTTTTTTAGTAAACAGTTTCCAAACGAGGTTGTTTACACCAATGAAAAACAGTCTAGTGTACTCAAACCGTGGTTAGACGTGTCAGTGACAGCACATTAACTGGTAAGGATTTGAGGTTAAGAGGGGCAGGCCTTCTTTCTTAAACCCGCCCTGGTCACTTGTTGCCATAACGTGCACAACTTTTTTTGACTGAGGCATACAAATGTTATAGTAACCTCTATAGGTAATTTATCAACCCCGATATTTTCATCCAAGAAACAGACATTGTCTTCTGATTACAGTACTGTACTGTTATGAAAGTCTAGAAACCTACTTTAATTGGTCGTTTTGCATTTGGCCTCTTGAGCCTGAGCCACAGAAGACCCGAGACTGAGAACAACGTGAAGAGAGCCTCCACAAAACTGACGTAGTTGATGAGAACGTAAACATCCTTTATAACAAGGAGCGCAAGAGTCACGATGCACTGAAACAAATAACATAGAATTACAACAACTAAATAGACTATTTAATTTTACAAAGCATTCCAACAAGATCTAATCGAAGCTTGCTTGTTTAAATTGCTTGTTGTACATGCTTGTTTAAATGTGATAGACCAACCCGGCCATTAATCAAATTTATTATTTTTCCATCTACACATTTTTCTGATTACACACCCAGGGCCGTATTTAAAAAAACATCAATGAGGCTCCCAGCGGCTTCCACCAGAGAGGCCTTGTCTCTATGATTTTTCAGTAGCTGGAGCTTAGGAGGTTTAGAAATACACATAGTGAACTCCACTGGATGATCTCCGCCCTTTGTTAAGACCCTTGTTTTTGACAATCTTATCAGTGAATAGACCTAGGAGGCTAGGATACCAGGTAATAAATAATTCATTTTTTCAATACTACTATTCAGGTTCTGTGGGTCAAACTTTTTGTTTACTGTGTGTTAAAAATTGTTGTTATGGGTCAGGTAAAAAAAATATGATGTTCGGGTATCGGGCCGTAATCAGGTACAGAATTGAAATCTGCTTGCTTTGAAAAGTATACTATTTTTTTTTAACATTAAATTGTTGTACTATAATCAATTTAAATGACTTCAGTGAAAATGAACAAGATCGTGAGCGTCCGCTATGCGTCTCCTACAATCACGGTGAAACAGTGAAAATTCGTGCTCACAAAAAGTGTTCTATGTATCATGCGAACAAAAAAAATTGTTCGACGAATTTGTGAACACCTTCCTGTTTGCATCTTTGTTTCCCACGGTCGCAAAAGAGTCGTGAACAAGAAACGAAATAGAAAATTTAAAAAATCGTCCTTGGTCACGACTCACGACAAAATGGTAAGCGTCCCCTGCGGTCACGGTGAAGGTTAAATTGTGGACATCTTCCGCGATCAAGAGGTGTCGTGAACATGATCTAAGTTACTCAAGAAGTGGGGAGGGGATAAGGGGTGGGATGGCAGGGGTGGGAGCAGCCTACTCTAATACTTTAATACTTTTCATTGAAATGGCGACCATACAAAGTCTACACAAGCGTGTAATACAAGAAATGACTTTGACCTTGAGCTGTCATGCCCATTCCTCCACCTCACTAATGTGTTGATAAATATTTTTTAAGATCCCTTTTCATTGTATTGGTTAGACCACTGTAGTATGGAAAAGCATGCTGCGTCTGCAGCGGTACTGTATAAAAGGCGTTATGGGATTCATGGGGAAGAAAACAGAAGAGAGATAAGGGAGAGGTGAAAGAAGGCTGGGAGAGGAATAAGAAAAGAGACTGTCATGAATGTGAAGAGGCATTGTGAGGAATAAGAAGAGTAATATGAGAGGAAGGAGACAATAGATCCTTAACAGGATTACCATGAGATTTGAAACTCCTGATAATTTAGTATCAGTTCCTACACTTTAATTTTTAGAAATCTAGCTGATTTAATGGAATGAAAATGTGTTTTACCAGAAAGACTAATGAAGGCACTGGGGTGTAGTGTTCATAGTTGATCAAGGCGATTGCTTTAGGAAGATGACCTTGTCTGGCTCCCACAAAGAACAAACGAGCAGAGGCGAAGATGGCTCCGTTGAGAGCTCCAAATGTGGAGCAAGCCACGAAGAAGGGCATTGTCCAGGACATCACGCCAAGCAGTTTGTCTCCAAAAGTCTAAGAAACAATACACTTTACATCAACACACCATATTTACCACCCACACATTATAGAAGAACCCCTTTAATTCGGTCTTGGGTTTTCTGGTCATCACTTCCTCCAAATGTAAAAATAAAATTTATTTCTTATGGTCCACACAAAAATTAAGTACAAGTACTTTTCAGGGTCCATCTGTCAACAGTGTAGCACATTAGATCAATTTAGAACCCATCCTGTGTATGCTACTGCTCTTATTACGATCAGTCAATAGAGTCATAGATTAAAGGAGTATAGCGTCATAGACAAAAAGAATTAAATATAGAACGTCAGCTGTGCTGCGGTTACCATAGCTTCTGGCGCACACCGCTTGGAGCGCCATGTATTTACGGCGTACGCGACGCGCTACTTAAACTACAGCGGTGTGCGCCGGGACCTATGGTAACCATGGTAACCGCAGCACGGCTGACAGTCTATATTTAATTCTTTTTGTCTATGATAGCGTACAGACAGGTTTTAACTTTGCGTTTTTGTTTGTTTTTTCCAAAAGGATATTTTAAAAGAATTGATGAATTGAGAGTGTTAGTGTTTAGGTGAACTATCCATAATAACACATTGTTTGAAAATTGAAAGTGTTAAAATAAAATAGTGAAACTAAATTACACCTTCATAGACTTCAGTATTTACAGATATTTTTTGTCAATTGGAATTTTATTAATTCTCATTATTTCTATTTTAATATCTGCTCCTCTAGACCAATATACTAACGTAATAAATTAATACGTAAATTAATATGTACGTAAATAAACATAATAAATTATAAGGTACGTTCTGACAAAACAGGATTTATTCTAGGAGTTGTTTGCTCTGGTAACTCTTTTTCCATTAATTAATAATTTTCCAAGTATTACTGTGATATTACTAAATAGTATTGCACAACAATTATTTGTACCCTCTAGTGCTGCTTTTGTACACAAGCTTGACCAGTCTTGACTTTCTGACTAATCATGATTATCTTCTTCCATATACAGAAATTCACTGAAAACTAAAAAGCTATAGTTTGACATGCGCTGTAAACTGTGAAAGTCAAGTAACAACTAGGTCCACTAAGCTTCGTTTTTAGTTGACCCGTTAGTGCTGTAAACTATTGGGTTTTTAAAATGGTTGAATAGTCTGAGATGGTGTCTTGCTTGCCAGGCATGATTAAATCACGAAATAATCCAACAAGTTCAAGTCATCTATTTGAAAAAATAACAAAACTTACAACAGCCACTGCGCTAGAGGACAAAAGCTCTTCCCTTGTCAACACAACGTAGTACGAGATGTTCACTAGGACGTAGATGACCGTTACCAGCGGCAATGAGATACAGATGGCTTTTGGTAGATTCCTGTAACAAAAACCATAAGTAAGCCTAAACAATGGGAAAATCTTACCAGTACGCTTGGAATCAATCCAAAGAGAGTGGACACTGCTCATGAGGTTATAGAAATACAGTACAAGGAAGGCTGATGCAAAAAAAATCAATGAGTATTCTTTTTTTGAAAAAAGTTTATCTAATACTTGTGTAGCTATAAGGTGCTATCCTTAACCCTAGATCTGGGGCACTATAAATTGGTGGCAGAGCAGAAAGTTTTTTGCACTCCACCAATAGTTTTATGAACTCAAACTCACTTATGAAGTCAAACGGAGTGAAGCCCGTGGGTAATAGCAATTGTTTTTGTGAATTTGTAAATGTTTACAAATTAAGTACGAATGTACATCAGTAGATGACTAAATTTCTTGCTTATGATGTTATAGTAATACCAGAAACAAAAGAACCCTGGGCTGTTTCGAGCCGCGCAGGTTTGAAGGGTAAGCCACACCTACCGGCGCGAACCACGTGATCTTTTCGTTTCTGCGCAGGTTGTTTTATTCGTGGTATGTCAATAGAATTTGAAAGATAGGAATAAACACTACAATCCCCTCATCTTAACCCTTCCCGGACGGGCGAAATCATGACATAGGAGGGAAAAAATTTGAGGAATTATTAATTAGGAAAATTGTTACTTGTGTTATACATAAAAGAAACACAGTGGAACACATCATACTGTCAAATTAATTTTTTTTTATCATTTTTTACTATGCTGATATATCCGCTACCCGTCTTTGAAGATATGACCATGACAACGTTAGGCAATAAATAAAGAACAATATGTAAACAATAAATAGAGACAACGTAATGTTGAGCGCGAAACGTTGAGGGGGGGTGTAGAAGTGGTGGTAGGTGCGCGGGAGGGGGTGAGGCGCAAGAGAGGGTTTAGCGCAGTAGAGAGGGGGGAGTGCGGGGGAGAGCGCAGTCATGGAAAGAGCAGGATAGTGACGCCTTGGTTCCGCAAAACATCTGGTTACTGCTCAAGCACCTGCCAGTGTGTCTGAAAAGAAGGCGGATATAACCGCTTCCCGTCCGGATCATCAAAAACCATATGCGGATATATCCGTCACCGGTACTTTATCACCAAAGACTTATGCGGATATATCCGTCACCCGTCCGGGAAGGGCTAATAATACTACTGCTGAATGCTGATAGACTACTACCATAGATGAACCATACCATAGATACCATACCATATATACCATAGATGAAGTAATAGATGGTGTGTATTTATTCTATGCTACTACTTATTCTGAAACTTGTATTGATGTGTCTTCACTGTCCAGTTTATGCTTGTGTTGATGTCACAATCCTGTTGACATCTCAACAACCCTAGATAAATTAATTAAGGCTAAAAAAGTATCCGTAGTATAAATTTTATTTCAACTTACTTAAAAGGATCCTTCAACTCTTCTGTTACGAAATTCAGATAGTTCCTGAAACAAACCATTCTTGATCAATCATGCTACAAATGTAAGTTGATATCATAATAAAAAAAATTGTAAATAGACTTAAAAAGATATTCTCTACAGATTATTTTGTAAGTCTCTGATCAATAAATACATGTTTTTTCAAATATTTACCGCACTCAAAAAGTTCAAATAACTCACCTAAGTAAACATAAAAAATAAAGAAGATCCTAGAAACTGATTGACACAAAATCAATTTATTCTGTTGTACTTTCGTTTCAAGAAATTTTTTAAGTTGAAGATTTTTATATCCACCCATCAACAAAGAGGTTGTTATAACGATAATATAATAGCCATACAATATATAGCTTGATTGGACAGTTAATCCAGACAATATAAGAAAATTGCACTCCATTCATCCATAATTTTACTTATCAAATAAGACAATACAAAAACACAACCAAGGGTACAGTGGGTAATACAGAAGTGCAGGTATTAGCTTTTCAACTGTTTAAAACTAGACCCAACTGTCCTTGATCTGGATTTTAATAACTGGTTCTGACTAAAAGAAATAGGTGATATTAAAGAGAGAAAGAGAAGGTAACAAAGTGTCCAAGTCGTCTCAGCCATCCCACTTTATATTCCCTTCATATTTGAGTTTATCTTCACCTTGATAGCATCCCCATCTCATAATAGTAAAGTCATCATATTTCAAACATTATTTGCTCGCTAATTTTGACAAACCTGGGGCCAGTCAATCTGAATATCATCTAAGATGGTTAAAAATTAAACCGTAAATATATTTATTTGAATTCCACTGATCAAAAAAGTTTTATTTCTAGAAATAAAACATCCATTGAAAAATAAAATTACATTTTTACCATCCTGCGTAAGAGAAGAGTCCAGAGTAGAAGGAGAGCGCTATGTAACCGGGCTCAAAGTTGGTGCCTTCGAAAGGCTTGCTGACGTTGCCGGTTTCTCCGCTGAGCAGGAACCATAAGCCGGCCAATACGATGACAACCAGAGCAAGAATCTTGGTGGCAGTGAACACGTCCTGTACTCTCGTAGCCCACTTGACATTGTAACAGTTGATAGCAGTCAGTAGACCTGTGGACAAAATTAGATTATATTTGTGGCCAAATCACATGAGTATGGTAAGGTGTGGATGGCTTAGAGTGCTGAATGGAGATGAAGCTCTATGGATATATTACCACTATTCTGTGGTATTACTGGATAAGATGTACTGGTTATACAACACTACTCCAACAATACTTACAATACATGGTGTGTATTATAAAGGCACAGATGACTAAAGAATGAGTTTTGAATGTTGTAGCTTATTTTGTTACAGGACTGACTAAGATCAGCTGAAAGGTTACCGGATCGATCCTGAGAAAAGTCAGTAGCTTTTTATATGGTTCGAAGCTGAACCCAGCTGTTCCTGATGATCATGGCTTCAAACTCCTGATTCCTGGCTAATGAAACAGCTGATCTTAGTCAGTAACAAAAGCTACACAGATCATCTTATCCCATTCCACACTCATCCTTCACTCGAATAAAGGAAAGATGGCTTAAAATTTACTATATTTGTAATGTTTATGTAAAGGTGGTTTATTTAATTATTCTGATTTATGTTTTTAAATGCAAAACGATTACACAAAATGTTTAAACCTATATTAAAGATGTTCTTGGTAATAACCCCAGAACTAAGGAAATTTGTATTCCCGTTCTTTTAGCAGGAACTCTTTCCATAACAGTAATCACGGTATATTAAAGTGATTATTGTAACAGCCGGAAGGTTTGCGTGATCGAGTGCCCACCTTGCCACCGTGGTCACGTGGGAAATTATTTTGGACCTGATCACTGACGAAAGAAATTGTCCGCGGCCTCATGTTCCCGCGAATGCGGTAATGGCCATGATTTTCGCGCGATCTATGGAGATTCTGGGATCGGTTTTGAATTTTAAGTCAGGAGTAATAAAAACTACGATTTCTTGATACCGGGAACTTTGAAATAATCATGATCGTATCCTTATATGTTCTTAAGGTTTAACCACCAAATTCACAGTTGAGCGGGTAACGTGTCTATTCTAAAGCATTGTAATTCAATATTCATAGATAATATAATGTACACTAATCAAAGCTAGATAGATATTCTGCTACACTTCAGTACAAGCCAAACAAAACTACAGGATCTGAACAAAGTCAATTCCTATGCCATCAAAATATTCCAAATTACGGCCTTGTACACTACTGTATAAAAAGTATGCAAGAAATGCCACGTCAACAGGAGATCTGCAGCTGCAGTCCAGCGCTGATATGGGAGACCTAAATACTGCAAGTAGGCTCTCTTGGAATGCAACGCTAGTAGGCCTACTCCTACGCCACATCCAGTCTACTAACTGGAATGCACATGCGAGGAAGTGATGTCGTGTGGCTAGTTTCAATTTCAACCAACTCAACACCAGATTAAACAAACCCCCTTATAGATTCATCATCCTTATGGAATGCCCAAAGAAAGTATTATAAGAGGTTAGGTCTGTCCAGATTTTATAGGGCTATATCAGTTTTATCGAAGCATGCTTAATCTATGGTTTTATACAACAATCACACAATAACAGCTAGATTGTATCATAAGAAAACGAGTGACGGGTTAATTTAGAATGAATGGGACGACAGTCGGGTTTCTGACTAAGATATAGTGTCAGTACTAAGATCAGCTGTTTGGGAGATGGTGAAGGGCAGCTGGGCCATTCGGACTATCAAAAAGCGTGGACTTTTCAAACAGGCAACCTTTATTGTCTAATATAATATACCCCATCCAAGCGCCTGCTGAGGTGTGTAGGCTCACGTCATTAATCGTAAAGCCTTTGAATCATTGAAACGATATCGGTTTTCTTTCAGTAGGTGGCATTGATTTAATATAATTTAACCTTAAATTTACATAAAATCTCTTTATTTTTTGACTTAGGTATATTTTACACTACCGGTAATTAACCGATTTTGTGGACCTTCTTATCCAATAACTAGTTTTCTCCATCAAGAAGTGAGTGATTGGTTCACCACAGATGTCACGGTCAGTGACATTAGGTCCTGCTCCTGCAGACCGAAGGAAGTGGACAATCTGACAGACGCACGCGCACCCGCGGCACACAGGACGCCGCCTTCGCACGTCAATTGGCTACAGGCATCTCCATCAACCATCTGTCATCTGTCTGTCAGCTGTCGCGACTGATACGTACAGGGATCACTTGCGAGAACTTAGTGCGGTCACTAATTAGGAAATACATTTCATCGTTTTAAATTTTTGAACGTATTTCGCAACAAGGGGGTTTTTCGTGAAGATCTCCAATGCAGAGGAAGATAATTCAAAACTAAATACCCCCGCCGCAGCAAACCTGCATACTAAACAAATTTACTTTGTCCTGAAATTTAGTATTTTTTTAAATTTCCAATGTGACCATTAAAACGTCATAAAACGACGCTTCAATGTATTGAATTGTCAGTTTTAAGCTTTATAAAACGGGTTTGAGGTAAATTGCAAAATATATGTGTTGACGTTCAAAATCTCTTATTCATAGACATATTGTCTGAGATAGCTTTACAAAACTCGTGTATGACTTGTCGTGATTTCCTGAACAGAGTCAACTGTCGATGAAAATACTTTTCACTCTCATCCTCTTTCAACTTCTGATGGTTGGCTCTCATGTTAGGTCACGGAATTATCACATGGATAATTAACACGGAAGAGTATTCTGTGCTAATACGCATTTGAATCAGCGGCGTTGGAACCAGGGCACCCAAGGAGCAATGCATGCGGTCCACTGGTCCACTAGATCAGCAGTGCTCAGCGCTTGCTTAAATGGCATAACATTGCAGTTGAAACCTCCATCGAACCGAATGTTTGACGTAGATTTGAATGAAATCGTAAGTATTGACTACGTGCGTATACAGTTTATTATAACAGGACTATATCGTTCTGTCCGAACCTGAAATCTTTGGCTGAGTTGTTTAAGTCGTTCAACGTTTTGTACCATGTTACAATTATTATTTTTGGACTTTTCCAACGTTTCTTGTGTTTAAAACTACACAACGTTTCTGGAGGTGGATCAACTCCTCCCGTTTCAAAGTAAATTGCTATCCTAAATTATTCTAATTAGCCCTCAAAAAGGTGGTTCAAATGATTCACCTCCTGAAACGTTGTGTAGTTTTAAACACAAAAACCTTTGGAAAAGTCCAAACAATAATAGTACTGTACTGCACAGTGGTAGCAAAACGGGAGTGCCGATGGAGACCAGGTCAAGTCCCTTCAAACGCACGCACCCCCACATGTCTCCATCGGCACTCCCGTTTTGCTAACACTGTAACATTTCAGAACCAACGCCATAGTGAGTTTTCTACCTCATGCCTGACAAGTCCGGATGTCCCAAGTTTTTGCCGAACATCATCGACGATAATTAGTTCCTACATTACATTCGACAAGCTAACTGCTTCCTCAATAAGACGACTACAACGGTTACTGATAAATATCTAAGTGCTATAATGAACAAACCGGACCGGTACACCTGCCAATTTTTTACTCTTCCATTCTGTATCATAATTTTTTATCGACATAGTAAGCATCATACGCATTTGGGTGTACGTTACGAAAAGAGATTATTGAAGTGCTTTAACTAATCATCCATGCTGAAGAAGTTTAGAGTGTTTAAATTGACAATGTAACAAAAAGTAAGATGAATTAAGGTAAAACTTGCGTTAACATACGGACTTAATAGGCCTACCACTTAATATTTTGTTTAGTAGACTGACGGAATTGGGTTGTCAAAGATTATTACTGCCTCAAGTACTTCATTGTGGTACAATTTCCGGTCTAGAAATGCGGGTGTTGAAAGCGAGTATTTAACAGAAATATGTAGAGTATATAACATAAATGTTTGTTAACTGACAAACTGAAAGATAACAGATCGAAAACAAATTAAAACATTACTTTTGGAAAAATGCTTTAAATGAATACCTGAATCATTTGTGTGTCACATTATTACCGGGTGTTTGGAAACAGTGTTAAGAAAATAACAAAGAAAAATGAGCAACATTGGTGCAATAAGGACATTTTATAAATGCTGATAGAATAAAATACCTCCTGATTGTCTTGATTGATTTTTTACCATAATCAAGAAACACATGTTTTGTGTTGTTTGGCAGGACCGGATGGCTGGAGAGTCAGACCTTACCTTCGTCAGATGGGGAGGTTGTGACCACCTGTTGTTTGTTTTGCCTGAAGGATAGGAAGAGATACCGAAGGAGGAGATTGCCTGAAGGAGATGATGGTCATCTACGTGTTGCATTTCCTCCCATCCCAAAATTCGTGTTATTTCCTCAGAATTTCAGAGCGACCCTACCTCAGCTCTACCTATGTTGGAGTTTGTAATTCCTTCGAGTCGGCGAAGCCCTACCTCCATAACCCATTCACGACCACCTATCCAGTCTCCAAATGTCAGGGTCTGATTTTTAGCGAATTTCCCATATAGGGAATAAGCTATTACCGTAGTACTCATGGTAAGACCTGGACGCGGGACCGATTTTTTTTTCGTTTTGAGGTCCCTAGAGGCCAAAAACACCATCCGTTCAAATTCATATATATATATATATATATATATATTTATATATATATGTGTCCGTCAGCACGATAACTCAAGCAAAAATGATCCGATTTTGATGAAATTTGGTACAAACGTGTAAACCTACGTTTATTTGAACGAGTTCGCGATCCAGCATGATCGGACCATGGGAACGGGTGTTTACGGGGGGTTTTATGGGGTAAAAATAGGTTTTTCCCATTTTTGACCCAAAAAACTTAAAATTTTGCAATTTATTTCCAAACCATTTTGTAGAGCTTAAAAAAAAATAATTTAGTATATTGAAGCGTTATTATGCGCTTAACGGTTACGGAGAAAATTCCAAAAAATTGTAAATTTAAAATTCCCATGTTATTCTTATGGAGAATAAGTAAACTGTTGTAGTTTGCTTGTTTATGAACGTATTTTGATCAAATTTGGAAAATTATTTTATTTCTTACTAACTATTAACATTTTACAAAAAAAAACACAATTTTACCCTCCCTGATGCAGCAAACCTAAGTACTTGTTAAACTAATTCTATTTAAATTGGGAATAAATGTTATATTTTTAAGTAGACATTTCAGTGTAAATCCAATCAGTCAAATGGAAATTCGCTTAGTCTGCAGGTTTGCTGCGGCGGGGGTATCCAAACTTATACATCAGGTTACACATGCATACATCTTTGATTTTCCAGTCTATACATCACATTTAATAAAAGAATACAATTTCGTTATATTAAAAGCGGAGATGCAGTTAAAACACTTTCAGGAACAGCTTAAAGCAAACAACACATTCTCTGGCCAAACAAATGTGTCAGTTCGACTTGGAACTGCCACTGCAGATACGATTGTAAATGTATCTCTTAAAGAAGAGGATGAGTGGAGAGCAGTCACCTCCCACGTTCGTCTGCTTTGTTTTTCGCGAATCGAGTGCTACCTGTATAGCCCTTTAGATTTCCCTAAAAGATCCGAAATTCTACGACACAAGGAACGAGGTTCTGATAAACTATTCGATTAGGGTTCTGAAATAAATTTCCGAGGCTCGTGGGGTTTAAGTGAGTGAGGGTTCCTGCAGTACGTACGCATTTCCCCTACGTAAACAATGTTGGCATATTGTTCTTCAGTTGTTGTACATTAATTGACTACCATCAAGCCGGTGTTCTTACACAGGTACCCAGCAGCATCAACGATTATCTAGATTTTCTTGTGAATGATTTTTGTTAACTAATGTTATCATACTGTGACTAACCTATATAAAAAGCTACATAAAACACCACAACTCACAAGTAATGACGGCGGCCAGCAGCCTGATAGCCTCGTAAGGAGGGTCACAATTGGTCCACATGGGCTGCAGGATGTACTGGGCGAAGGTAAGGGCAGTGATGGCGTTACCCGTGGGCACGATGACCAGCAGGGCGACCCACAGGTACAGGAACGCTGGGAGTGGACCGAAGGCTTCACTGATGTAGGCGTAGTCCCCGCCAGACTTGGGGATCATTGTACCTGAAACAAGAAGTACGTGTAAGATCCATAACAACCGATGGGAATAATGGAACAGCCACAATATTTTTTGTATGAAGTTATGTAAGCAGCTCATAAATAGGATTTAGAAACAGAAAATGTTGCATTGGAAGATGCGATATGCTGATAATTAAAAAAAAATACCCCGAAAACCCCGGCTTTCCTTCGGTCAAACGAAGCTACACACTTCATTTAACAGGATAAAACAGTCGACAACAGAGCAGTAAGACAAGACCGCAGCCATAAGGTTCTCTCAGTCAACAAATTTTTTTATCTTTCCCCACCCCCAGTACCGTAGCGGCTACATGTCTAGGTGTCCGAAGTAAGTAATTCCCAAGAACGTGAGGATTCATTGGTTTTACATTTTTTAGTTGATTATTCCCTTGTATGTTTGTCCAGTGGTGTCATTTCACCAAATCCTTGGGGGGGACACCGGGAGGTAAGGAGGGTATGGAATATCCCCCGCAAAAGACGGGCGGAAAATTAAGCAGTTTTGAAAAAATAGAGGTTTAAAATTTTTTTAAATGTCAAAAGTAATAATGATGAAAAAATATTCTAGTACAGCATATTTTTTCTCTAACCCAGTCACCAGGGGGGGGGGCAGATGCCCCTCCGCCCCCTAAATGACGTCCCTGAGTGTGTCCAAATGAATTTGTCACCCAATTTTGGGCGACAGAGTGATGGCGGTGATTTTTAAGCGTCCCAACTTAAGACGTATAAGAGCGTATAACTTTAGAGCGTATAAGACGTGAGAGGCAGTTCCTTCTCACGTTTATTGTTTAAATGAATATTTGAAGATTTCCTTTCAAAACATTTAAGCATCAAGCTCTAAAAGAGTCAGTGAGAATATGGTATTGACAGCTTTATAGATGAAGTATTCTTAAGTTGGTGCCGGTTAAGAAGCATATTTCGCTGTTTAAGAAAAACGAGTTACCAAATAGTTAATTTAAGAAAATATAAACAAATTCTTTAAAATGAGGGCAGATTGTTCGTGATTCTCCCAAGTAAAATCGTGACTCCACCAACTTGAGAAGAAAAGAGTTGACCGACCTCGAATTGACCACAGTCATTAACTTCAGTACCGTGCTTACCATTGGTTTGTGGTCAGGTATCAGGTCAAATAACTCATTGATTGTAGACTTCGGTAATGCAGAACATATCCGTGTTTTCTCTGATTCCCAACGTTGATGTTTTCCAATTTTTCGACCAGGAACAAGTTATTTTCTCGTTTAATAAGCAGACGTCGTTTACGATCCATTCTTTTCGTAAAATCCGGTTGTTATTATGAGAGTGACATGCCAACTGAATGTTCCGGCGAAAACATGGATAAGTAATGCCAATTTGTACAGCGGCAACAACCTTTTACTTAGTGTATTAATCTGACAACTACAGTGAGACCGGGCATCGTTCGCCAAGAATGCGTTTTATGAGTTTATTGGGCCAACTCGTGCACGTTCAAACGCCGACTCGTGTCGTACATTGAATGTCGGCTTGCCAAGATATAACAATGTAAAGTTACAAGATATTGTTGACACAATGTAAAAACAATACATTGAAAATGCTGGACAGCCAATACAAATTTGATAACCGAATGGGAAATATTACGCCTACTACTGTATACATTAAATAGGTGTCTGACTCTTGATAACCCAGAACTTGATAGTACCATAGACTAACCAACACAAGTACTTGGGGGAGTATGTTTTATCTATGATGGTACTTTGAAAGGTAAAGCGAAGCTGCAGTAGGTGGAGTGAATGAGCCATCGCCCGTTATCTATTGTACAAAGAGGCACGCTGATTTGAGCCTCGAAACCCAGGTACGCGTTAATTTGAGCCCTGCACTGATGCGTCAATAATAATGTTTTCACTGTTCACTAATCCTTTGGTGATTTTAAGCCTTTAGCCTTTCTTGATCTCGTACGGCTAAATGAACAGAGGGCGCACAGAAAAACATACATATCAAACTAGAACAGATGTATATTTGTTTTCAAAATCACTGCACAGTACAACAGGGAATTAGATCATCGACTATATATAGGCTAATATAACATGACTTAAGATATATTATACAGTATATATGGAGATAGCGAACCCTGGTTTCCATCATTCTTTAAGTTTTTTAAACACTTTAAAATGAGCTGTCACTTGAAGGGGGTTTACATTTAACAATTCTGAGTTGCCCCCAAAATACGCCATTTTTGGGGGACACTCAAAATTTTCAAAATTATAAAATGAAACTTCTTGCTAAGTTTCACTGATATCACCCCACAGAGACAGACCGACTACGGGCCTAGGAAATATCTATATCAGCTGTGTATGGAGCGATGTGGCGGATGTCGGTAATCTATCGGGGCAGGGCCTAGTGAGACCGGCCTATCTGATAATAGACTGTTATCACACCACAGAGACAGACCGACTACGGGCCTAGGAAATATCTATATCAGCTGTGTATGGAGCGATGTGGCGGATGTCAGTAATCTATCGGGGAAACGCCAAGTGAGACCGGCCTATCTGATAATAGACTGTTATCACACTACAGAGACAGACCGACTACGGGCCTAGGAAATATCTATATCAGCTGTGTATGGAGCGATGTGGCGGATGTCGGTAATCTATCGGGGCAAGGCCAAGTGAGACCGGCCTATCTGATAATAGACTGTTATCACACTACAGAGACAGACCGACTACGGGCCTAGGAAATATCTATATCAGCTGTGTATGGAGCGGTGTGGCGGATGTCAGTAATCTATCGGGGCAAGGCCAAGTGAGACCGGCCTATCTGATAATAGACTGTTATCACACTACAGAGACAGACCGACTACGGGCCTAGGAAATATCTATATCAGCTGTGTATGGAGCGGTGTGGCGGATGTCGGTAATCTATCGGGGCAAGGCCAAGTGAGACCGGCCTATCTGATAATAGACTGTTATCACACTACAGAGACAGACCGACTACGGGCCTAGGAAATATCTATATCAGCTGTGTATGGAGCGGTGTGGCGGATGTCAGTAATCTATCGGGGCAAGGCCAAGTGAGACCGGCCTATCTGATAATAGACTGTTATCACACTACAGAGACAGACCGACTACGGGCCTAGGAAATATCTATATCAGCTGTGTATGGAGCGGTGTGGCGGATGTCGGTAATCTATCGGGGCAAGGCCAAGTCAGACCGGCCTATCTGATAATAGACTGTTATCACACTACAGAGACAGACCGACTACGGGCCTAGGAAATATCTATATCAGCTGTGTATGGAGCGGTGTGGCGGATGTCGGTAATCTATCGGGGCAGGGCGTAGTGAGACCGGCCTATCTGATAATAGACTGTTATCACACTACAGAGACAGACCGACTACGGGCCTAGGAAATATCTATATCAGCTGTGTATGGAGCGGTGTGGCGGATGTCGGTAATCTATCGGGGCAAGGCCAAGTCAGACCGGCCTATCTGATAATAGACTGTTATCACACTACAGAGACAGACCGACTACGGGCCTAGGAAATATCTATATCAGCTGTGTATGGAGCGGTGTGGCGGATGTCGGTAATCTATCGGGGCAGGGCCTAGTGAGACCGGCCTATCTGATAATAGACTGTTATCACCCCACAGAGACAGACCGACTACGGGCCTAGGAAATATCTATATCAGCTGTGTATGGAGCGGTGTAGCGGATGTCGGTAATCTATCGGGGCAAGGCCAAGTGAGACCGGTCTATCTGATAATAGACTGTTATCACCCCACAGAGACACCACAGAGACCGACTACGGGCCTACGAAATATCTATATCAGCTGTGTATGGAGCGGTGTGGCGGATGTCGGTAATCTATGGCGGGGCAAGGCCAAGTCAGACCGGCCTATCTGATAATAGACTGTTATCACACTACAGAGACAGACCGACTACGGGCCTAGGAAATATCTATATCAGCTGTGTATGGAGCGGTGTGGCGGATGTCGGTAATCTATCGGGGCAGGGCCTAGTGAGACCGGCCTATCTGATAATAGACTGTTATCACCCCACAGAGACAGACCGACTACGGGCCTAGGAAATATCTATATCAGCTGTGTATGGAGCGATGTGGCGGATATGTCAGTAATCTATCGGGGCAAGGCCAAGTGAGACCGGCCTATCTGATAATAGACTGTTATCACACCACAGAGACAGACCGACTACGGGCCTAGGAAATATCTATATCAGCTGTGTATGGAGCGGTGTGGCGGATGTCGGTAATCTATCGGGGCAGGGCCTAGTGAGACCGGCCTATCTGATAATAGACTGTTATCACACCACAGAGACAGACCGACTACGGGCCTAGGAAATATCTATATCAGCTGTGTATGGAGCGGTGTGGCGGATGTCGGTAATCTATCGGGGCAGGGCCTAGTGAGACCGGCCTATCTGATAATAGACTGTTATCACACCACAGAGACACCACAGAGACCGACTACGGGCCTAGGAAATATCTATATCAGCTGTGTATGGAGCGGTGTGGCGGATGTCAGTAATCTATCGGGGCAAGGCCAAGTGAGACCGGCCTATCTGATAATAGACTGTTATCACACCACAGAGACAGACCGACTACAGGCCTAGGAAATATCTATATCAGCTGTGTATGGAGCGGTGTAGCGGATGTCGGTAATCTATCGGGGCAAGGCCAAGTGAGACCGGTCTATCTGATAATAGACTGTTATCACCCCACAGAGACAGACCGACTACGGGCCTAGGAAATATCTATATCAGCTGTGTATGGAGCGGTTTGGCGGATGTCGGTAATCTATCGGGGCAGGGCCTAGTGAGACCGGCCTATCTGATAATAGACTGTTATCACACCACAGAGACAGACCGACTACGGGCCTAGGAAATATCTATATCAGCTGTGTATGGAGCGGTGTAGCGGATGTCGGTAATCTATCGGGGCAAGGCCAAGTGAGACCGGCCTATCTGATAATAGACTGTTATCACACCACAGAGACACCACAG